TAGTTTCAGCCCGACGCAGTTATCATTTTCACGTCCTGCGTCACGTTGTTTAAATAGCAAATGCATTTGCGCCCATTTGTGCACCCATGGGTGTGCTGGTCTGAAAACGAGGTGTGTTCAGGCGCATTTTTGGCACATTACTATTTTGAGGCAACTGCAATATTTTTTTGGTTATTTAAAGATACGTGTTAGTAATGTTGCATCTATAGGCGGGTCCAACACGTGCGTACACTCTGCTTATTACACACACAGGGATGTGCATGCAGCACACAAACCAGCCAAATATTAAAATAAAAGGATTACAATGTAAAAGATTATTAATGTGTACATAAAGATATGGTGGAATCCGGCTTGTCACGTAGATGGTCTTCTTGCATGCTTTAACATCGCGCACGAGCAGATCCATTTCCTCTCTGGAGATGCATTCAGTCTTCCACTATCAAATTCTGTCATGTAAAAAGCGAATCCGCCATAGCACGAGCACAACTGGCATTTAAAGGGAATGGGAGATGAGACTCTGATTGGTTTATTCCATGTAAAGCCCAAAACACACCCACTATTCATTAAGAGAATAGGGCAACCCTTTTAGACCATGCACCTGGCGCACCGACCATTTTTCCCGTCGTTAAACTTGCAAAAGTGGATTCAGACACGCCTTAAGTGCACTTGCGCCGTGCGCTTTAGACCATGCGCTTAGATCGGGCCCTCTGTTGTTCTAAACGGGAAACCCATTATTAGCCTCTACATTTCTAAGTATATACACTGACTAATACCGATGTGTTAGTCGGATCTCTGAAATTTCAGTCGGTGTCCTCCTCTGCTTCACCTAAGCTGGATTTCAGTCCATTTACTAACCTGATCGTAGAATTGTGGTGTTATGGACTTAACGTAATCTACTAGAGTTAATCATTTCAGAGTAAGTCAGAATACAGAATAACAATTTATTATTAGTCAAGTAAATGTATCATGCCAATTACATAATTCAAAGATAATCAATACAATAACATCAAATGCTCAGAGATAAAGAGAAAAGATGTATAAGCTACCTGACATTAGAAAAATACATAATTCTGAGTGTCTGGACATTCAGCATTACGGGCTGATCTGGCTACAGAATCGCCCAGAGCCTCTTGTGGCACTTCTTTACTCAGACCAAGACAAACGTTAAAACATCCCCCAATGTGGGGAATGAACTTACAATAGGAACTTTAAAATCCTTTACCTCTACAGATAATCGTTGTCGGGATAATTCCTGTTCACGTGGCTACGCCGAAGCGATACAATTCTGTATTATACATTTTAAGGCCAGACAAGTAGTTTGTTGAGGGTTGTTTTTTTAGGGAAGGACTACATGACTGCGCACATATATTCAAACGTGCATACCTATAGAATGAACTCTTAATACGCATGTGCACGCCTTCAGCGTTCTCACAGGTTCGCGTTTTTAAAGTTTGCGTAGAGAGAACTTAAAAGAGTTTTCTGTTAAAATGGTGTCGTGTTAGCGGCCCCTAAGTTAATAACCAATGATCGTTGAGACGGAAGTGAATCAATTAAAACTAAGGGTGTATTCACACCAGGAAAGTCCGATAGTTCACTTGCTTTGGTCCGGACCAAATAATTTTTTTTTATTTTTTTTGGTACGGTTCGCTTTCACACTGCTCTTTTTGCAAGTGAACCAAAATTTGTAAACAAAACCACACGTGTGCTAAGGTCGTCCATTCATTGGACAAGGATTCTCAAGTAGGGAAATCAGGAAGTGCAAAAAAGGCTCAGCATGGAGATATTTCGTACTGCAATATTTGTTATTTTACTAATTTTGTGTTATTCTGTACAAACGCAATATGAAGAAACTGCGCAGAAGACGGATAAGGTATAAAGTTTTGATTCATAGAGAGGGGCTATGTTCACACATTCAAATAATGAAATTCTTATTGTATATACTGCTAACAAGTGCTGTCAATGTTAACGCTTGCGATTTAAGTTTGTCCATTTTAACGCAGCATCATCCTTGTATTGTAACTATCGTTACATTATATGAACTGCAAAAGCTTTTTTTGGATCTATGCGCGATTAGACTGAAGAGAACGCGCTGTATGTGAATGTCCTGATGCACACACTCATTCATTCCATTCCAATGATGCACACACGACGCGCAGAAAGACGCGCAACAGTGTCGTGTGGCCAGACAGCGCGCCGGAATGGAATTCTCTTTCGCACTTGAACAACAATAACACAAACCATTATGCCAAAATCTCCGACTACGGAAGCCTGTTAACTCAAAGGCGCAGTGCTTTCTTGCAATTGGGTCGGTTCATGTTCACATCGTAAACGAACCGTACCAGAGTTCGTTTGGAACCGTACCGAGACCACCTCTTCAGCTGGGTCTCGGTTCGGTTGTTTGGTCCGCACCCGAGTTCGATTGCTGTATTCAGACCTGCCCAAAAGGTCCGCACCAAAGGGGGAAACGAACTAGAGTTCGATTCAATCGAACCAAACAAGGCAGGTGTGAATACACCCTAACTTTAGCTGGAAAATAACTTTATTCTAGAGCTGCTGTAAAGCCAAAACAATCTGTTTCTTTAATTTCCTATTATCACTGTAAAGCAGCTTTGGAACAATCTACATTGTTAAAAGCCCTTTATAAATGAAGATGACTTGACTTGACTAGGAATTTGCATTGACTAGAGTTATAGACACAGGGAGTTCAACTTCACACCTTGTCATTTTATATAATCTTTCTAAGTGAACTGAAGAGAAGAATGTGTAAAGCGAAGGAAGTGGGGGGAAAGGGAACAAAAGTTAAGGAAGGACAGGAGGGAAAGCTTTCCCACAACTTCACTCTGTGAGGTCTGGATACAAATGGCAGTATGTGTTTATGTTGTCCATATCTCAGAAGATCAAAGTATGAGGTTTGCCTTACACAGTTTATATAAAAAAAATCTACTTTTTAAGTCTGGATTGAATTCAGTGTGCTGTTAGCATTTTTCTTGTTAGTGTTTATTCCCTATTATGTTAAAATATTATGGTGTAAAGAACTGCTAAGGGAGTTGATAAAATATGTAATCTCTAGTAAGTTATGGATCTGATCATAGGAGACACAGGGTGGTTATATTCAGCACAGAGTGCTTCCCCTTGCACAGCTGTCACATACGCATGCTCCACTTCTCACCCGAATGCTCTGTGAAAACACCAAATTAAAACACAACCAAATATGACACTGTTACTGATATAACCTGAGTCTGACAAACAGATATTTTTGACAAATTTTACTTTAATTATCGGTTATCAGTTTTTCTTTAAATCAAACACACAGTGACTAAAGCCCTAAGAAATTAATAATTCATGTGAGAAAACATCTTATAGAACAATTTACATGGTTTACTATACACAGTTTGTAGCATGACTTTTAGGTAAATAATGACAAATGTCTGAATAACCTAAAAAGTATTGAAAAATGATTACTATCAAAGAAAACAAACAGCACCCATGCGAGATCAAGAGAGTTTATTGATGAAAAAAAAGAATATGCATACAGAATAGTCATTCAGTAGCAAACATATAAACCTAAGTTTCTTTGTTGGAAATATTAGACTAGTCAGCATGGAAAACTTTCCTTGTTTTTAAAACCCCATAAAATAAAATAAATAAAAAATAAAATAAAAAAATAAAAATACACAAAAGCCCAGTGTCATAACCTGTTATGTATAGAAAGACTGCCAAGAGTGTCAAGACATTCAGAATGCTTGTAAATCCAGACCATGGGAATGAATATACACAAGTCAATGTGTCACTGCGGCACAATTAATGGTCTATATAGCAACTAGAAATGACAGAAACAGTTACATATTCACGTACATGAACTTACTGGCTTCCTATTAAGAACTCTTGCAATGCAATAAAATGAGATTTTATGTCACATAATAATTATCACATAAAGTCTTAAATACAAGTCAACACCAAAATGCATACATGGAATAATTATACATTACATTTTAACTCATCAAAGCCCATTTCTTTGATATAAATAATAAACATTCTGAACAGAGAACTGTTAAAATAGAGCATAAAGTAGATATACAACTTATGAATCCAACTCACAATGTAATCACTATCTATTGAAACAAGGTTGAAAAGAAAGCCTAAAGACCTTGAGTAAATGTATGTACATCTGTCTGGAGCTGGGTGTGCATTTGACAAGCTAAACAGCAAATGACCTGTTAAAAAGACACTTCATTACATTCAAATCAACTTCTATTACTTGCTCCCTTACTGTCATAATAATCACAATTGCATTGCCAAAAAGTTTTGATTCTTGAAGATGTGGTACACTGATGATTTAGTTAAACTTTATTAACTATGTCTTGTCTGGACTAATGTGACACTGTCACACTTTCAATTATTCACATTATTGCAGTGCACAACACAGCATGAAATAAAGATGTAAACAGTACATTGCTTCATAAACTAGTAACATTACTTGAAGCACAGTCAACATCTATAAAGTTTATCTAAGTAAAATGTCAAAAGTTAAACAATCAGTATTTTCGAAAGGCTCAAAATCATTAGACCACACATGACTAGCTCACCTGGTTTGTAATTGAAGAAATGGTGAATAGACAAATTTTTTTTAGGACCAGAAGAAAAAAATGGGGAAAACTTTACAATAAGTTCTCATTTGGTAATATTAGTTAATGCATTAACTACCATGAACCAACAATGAGCAATATATTCGCTTACACTTTTTCTTTTTTCCACATTTATTAACCGTTTTAATGCTATAAAAATGTTCACTGTGGTCCACAGTGCATTAACTAATGTTGAAGGGTTAGTTCACCCAAAAATGAAAATTCTGTTTCTTCATTTCATTTGAAGAAAATTAATTTTCTTCCGTGTGGGCCTCTGACGTGAGTTCACAAGAGCTTGAGATTAACTAATGTTAAGAAATGAAACCTTGTTGTAAAGTGATACCAAAAAAATCAATGGATATCACACACTGTATGAAATATATTGTGTGTTATAAATTATAAACTGACAATGAATTTACACTGGTGTCATCCTCACTGTAAAACAGTTTCGTTTCATAATTAAAATTAATTGGAAATCAGTTTTCTCTTTTTCTAAAATCACAACATTTATGACAGCCTGTTTTGCCACTTATGGAAGTTAAATAAAGCGCATTTTAATACAATTTATTGCTCACATTACATGAATGATAACTTGAATACATTTTTAATATACCGTAAAATATTGAGAAAGCAGTTAATTTAAATAAATAAGAGCAATAACAACTGCTAGACATTCAGCATGCTAAGTTTCAGTGCTAAAACTCTAAACTATATCTAATTAATAAGACAATTCATCATATTATTGTACACAAACACAGTTCCAAAATTACCTAAATACATGTTGCTTATTATAATATTTTAGACTGAAGAGAACTTTCAGTGTAGATAATAAAAACAGGCTCCTTTCGGGTGAAGCTTTTTTTTTTTCTGGAATGATTGAATTGACTGTCTGAATTACACTAAATGCAATTCAAAAATCCTGAAGAACAAACTATAATTCCCAGGTTTTACGAAAACTAATGAGGCCCAAAACAATTCAAGAACAGAACATCTAAACAGAGCATAATGTGACTTCAGGAGGTTGTCATGGTCGAAGGGTCAGTCCACATGGCTGCCACATCTCTGAACCTGCAGAGAGTATATAACAACAATATGTAATCACACTTTTAGAAAAAAAAAAAAAAGGGTCAACGGGGTTCTATTTTCATGGTCATGTTCTGTTTTGGTTTCGTTTTCATTGTTCCCTGTCACTGTTTTCATAAGATCTTGTTACTAGTTTGTTTCCATGGTTTCTGATTAAGTTACACACTTGTTTCTGGTTCTGTTGATTATATAGCTCTAACGATCTAGTGTATTTAAGCCCTCAGTTCTTTCTGTTAATGGTTCGTGTCATTGATGTTTATGTGGTTGTGTATCTACGTTTATTACTCCTGTGATTTCCTGTGTGTTCTTAGTAATTGTCAATATAAAAGTTTGTCTAATTCTCATTTATCATGCACTTACAGCCACGGTTTGTGACATCTATAGGGTTCTTGACTCAATTTTAAAGAACCCTTTATGCCAAAAGAAATTTTTTAAAGGAACACTCCGACTTTTTGGGACTTTAGCCTATTCACCTTATCCCCCAGAGTTAGAAAAGTCCATACATACCTTTTTCATCTCCGTGCGTGCTATTAGTCTGTTTGACGCACCCACCGCTAGCCTAGCTTAGCACAAAGACTGGATGTAAATGGTTGCAGCTAGCATACTAATCCAAATAAGTGACAAAATAACGCAAACATGTTTCTATTTACATGTTGTGATTTGTATAGTCACAGAGTGTACAAAAAACAAAGTCACATGAGACACAGACATATTTTAACCGTATAAATACTGGGAACTATATTCTCTGAAGGCGACTATATTCTCTGAAGGCGAAACACTGCTACTTGGGCGGAGTGATAACCGCAGCACCTGAGACGCGCCGTGGTGAGGAGCAGAGAGCGCGTCTCAGGTGCTGCGGTTATCACTCCGCCCAAGTAGCAGTGCTTCGCCTTCAGAGAATATAGTTCCCAGGATTTATACGGTTAAAATATGTCTGTGTCTCATGTGACTTCGTTTTTTGTACACTCTGTGACTATACGAATCACAACATGTAAATAGGAAAATGTTTGCGCTATTTTGTCACTTATTTGGATTAGTATGCTAGCTGCAACCATTTACATCCAGTCTTTGTGCTAAGCTAGGCTAGCGGTGGGTGCGTCAGATAGAGTTACAGCACGCACGGAGATGAAAAAGGTATGTATGGACTTATCTAACTCTGGGGGATAAGGTGAATAGGCTAAAGTTTCAAAAAGTCGGAGTGTTCCTTTAAATGATTGCATACTTTCATGTGTAATGGATTATTTCAGGTTTTTTTCTAGTGATAAAGTGTTAAAATTAATTAAAAGATAATTAATTAAAACTAAATCCATAAAGCACCTGACAGTTCCCTTTCAAAAGCTACTCTCAATGACTACGTTTACATGCAGCCAATAACCCGTTCAAAACCGGGATATTAGCAATAACCCGGTCGCGCATGGCCATGTAAACACCTGCAAAAACCCGAATATGCTTATATCCCGGATTTTAAAAACCGGGATATGATACCTAGGATACCCCTTTTCTAACCCGAATTTTTGGTCATGTAAACGCGCATCGGCATATCCCCATAGTGATTTGTGTTCTGCGCATGTTCTATTCGCAAGGAATCTTGGTCTTTTGAGTAGAGGAACTTCTCGGCGCATACAAAAACCTGCGTGCAGTATACCGGAAGTAAACATGGCGAGACGCAGCACAGCATACTTTTGGAGCGAGGTCAGTACCAGCACCAAAGCGCAAACAAAGGCGATCGCTATCTGCCCCGAACTATTCATTATCCGCGTGCTGCTGCTGTTGTTGTTGTCTTTGGATACAGGAAGAAGAATCGGAAATGACGCATAGTGCGTCTTAAGGTTGTCCGTACGTCTTGACGCTAACCGTGCGTCGCCGTTTACATCGGGATATTGCAATTCCATGTATACAGGAGAAACTCTCTCTTCTCACGCATGTAAACATTCCTAATGTTTCAGAAACCCGAATAGTGACCTTAACCCGACCATAACCCGAAAATTGGCTGCATGTAAACGTAGTCAATGCTGCACTTGATTTAAGCGCAATGGGAAAACATGTTTCTTTGACCAGTTGTGAAAACATGCCAAGAATTTGGCTTAAATAACCTCTGATGATGACATCATCAGAATGCGCACGTCAGAGGCTATAAATGGACGTGTGACAGGTGCGCTCATCAGGTTCCTTTGTCTTCAGAACCACATTGTGTGCCGTGTGTGCTTTTCAAACCTCTTCTCAAACTATCCCTTTTGCTAGGAGTTAGTTTTGTCACACAGGAAAAAGCCTTTTCTCACTCTCTTCCTCTTTCTCTGAAAACGAAAAAAGTTAAAAAGAAAAGAAAAGAGAATCATGTTGAGAGAATCATCAAAGAGATGCGTGCCGCCCTGCTCACGGCCCATTTCAGATGATGATTCGCATGAATTTTGTTTGGGAAAAGCACGCTGTAGCAGCCCTTTAGGACGCAGAATGTGAGCACTGCGAGTCATTCCCCATCAAAGTGCTCTGCTCCAGACTCGCCCTAGGGAAGAGCGAGCCTGCATTTTCTGTATTTCCTCGATGATGAAATCATTGGGCTCCCGTGTTGATCTGGCTTAGGAGCGGGAGACGGGTCCTTCCCTTTCTCTCGTTCTCTCTCTGGATCGCGACGTGCTCTCGTCCGCTGCTGAAGATGGCGCTTCTTTAGAGCGGGCAGAGAATGTGGGTTCTCTTCTCAATAAAGAATCTACTGGCTCGGATCTTGCGTCTGCAGAGGCAACGCGCAGATTACGGGTCTGCTATATATGTATATAATGCGAGGGAACTGAGGAGACGGGAGATTCCCTTTCTCTCTTGTTCCTATGATCGTGTGCAAACAAATTGTGTGTGTTTGCAAGCAATGATTTCATGATTCTCTGTTGAAACTGCTCTTATATGAAGGCGAAATAGCCATCTGGAGATGGACTTTGAGAACGCCACCTCCAAGCGCTTCTTTTTGTGACGATGAAGCACATGAGGAGTTACTCGAGGTAGTCACTCATGCAGTGGCCAGATTACAACTAGACTGGCCACAGGAGAAAGAGCAAGCGCTCGAAGTTAGAGAATATTTCTGTCCAGGGATATGGGCCTCAGCGACGGTCTCTCCCCTTCTTCAAGGACCTTCTTGATGACTTAACTCATTCACGGGGGAAACCTTATTCTTCACGTGTCTTTGTGCCCTCGACGTCGACGTATTTGACTATCGTGGGTGCAAGGGCAGGTGGTGATACGATGATGCCGCTATTTTTTGGTTCCCCAAAAAAGATGGGGGGATGTGTCCAATTCTAGACCTTCAATGGTCTGAACCGTTCTCTCAGAACATTCAAGTTCAAACTGTTGACAGTCAAAATGATTGTCTCAAATTCAACACAAAAATTGGTTTGTCACAATTGACCTCAAGGACACATATTTTCATATAGAAATTCTGCCACAACACAGGAAGTTCCTGAGATTCGCTTTTGGGGGCGAAGCTTACCGTATGGTAAGGGTTACGCGCAGCGGGCTTCGTACCCTTTCTATGTGGCTCAGACCCCTATTCCTCCCCTTGGGTCCCACTCTAGGTGCGTGTTGTCATTGCAGGATGTTAACGACAGACGCTTCCCTGACAGGCTGGGGTGCGATCTTAGATGGCTGTCCAGCCCAAGGGGTCAGGAGAGGCCGTCATCTCGATTGGCACATCAATTGCTTTGAATTGATGGCTGCATTTCTGGCCCTGAAATACTTCCTCCAGCCGTTAAGGGGCTACCATGTCCTGGAGCGGGTGGACAATACAGCGATAGTCACTTACTTCGATAATTCAATGTTAGGCTGCATAGATTAGGTCAGCCGGAACTGGGAACACTTCCCTTAAATCTTGATGTACTCGTTACATCATAAGAAGAATGGCATCTACGCTAACTTTAGTGTCTTTGTTTATCCCGAGGTTTTCCTGCAGCCTGCCGGATCCAGGCCGTATCCAGATCTGACGAAGGAGTTTCGCCTGGACCCGATGACAATGCAGTGCTGAAGTGTCAACTATCCTCTCCCTATGGAGGATCCCTTTCCCACTCTACAGATAAAGCGTTGTTGGAAATCCGGTTTGCGTACCTCGAAGTGATAAAATAAAATTCTGTATCAAATTTATAGGCAAGACAAGTAGTTTGTTTAGGCATGGTTTGTTGGGAAATTACAAACCTGCCCACACATATTCAAACGAATTTAACTATAGAATTTAACTATAGAATAAATTTTTAATGCGCATGTGAATGCCATCCGGTCACAGGTTCGTGTTTAAAGTCTGTTTAGAGAGAACGCCGTCGTCTTAGTGGCCCCTAATGTCATAACAAATGATACTTTTGCGGGAAGTGAATCAATCAAAACCAACTTTAGCTGGAAATAACATTATTCAAAAATCGCTATAAAGCCAAAACAATCTCTGTTACCGTAAATTGTATGTTTATCTCTGTAAAACTGCTTTGAAACAATCTCCATTGTTAAAAGCGCTATATAAATGAAGATGACTTATATAAATCGCCAGGGTGGACTGCGTTCATGCCGTTTGAACAAAATAGCGCAGCAGGTTTCTTCTTTGGGTTTAGGACAAGTTCCTGTCCCTCTGGCGGATTCACATTCCCAGAAGCATGAATGTCAGAGCAGATTTGTGTCCAGACAGGAGGTCACACATGGGAATTGGAAGCTCCATCCCGATGTGGTCAGTCAGATCTGGGAAACATTTTATGAAGGAGAGGTGGACCTCTTTGCTTCACAACAAACAGCGCAATGTCAAATTTACTTCTGACTCACTGACTCCTCCAGCCTCCCTGGGTCTGGACGCCATGGCCCAGTGCTAGGGCTCCCTCCACTAGAAGAATGTACGCCCTTAAGTTCTGCGTCTTTGAAAGATGGTGTACTATACATCATGGAGACCCAGTCCACTGCCAGATTATTTCAGTGCTGGAGTTGCTGCAGAAAAATCTGTCAGCAGGCACATGTCCTGCTACTTTCAGAGTATTTGTGGCCGCCATTTCATCTTGCCATGCTCTGATTCAGTTTCTGATTCTGATTTTTCAGTGGTTGAAACACCCTCTGATCGCACGTTTCATTCGCGGAGCTAGGCGACTGAAACCACCCGTCAGAGTTCCCTCATGGGATTTAGCCGTGGTCCTTGTAGGGCTAGTCAACAACCCCTTTGAACCATGCACTAAAGTCAGCGCTGGTCAAACTTCTGACTCTAAAGATGGTTTTCCTTATGGCTATCTAGTCACTAAAGAGGATTGGAGATTTGTAGGCTCTGTTGGTTTCGCCAGCCTGCTTAGACTTTGCCCCTGGACTGGTCAAGGCTATTTTGCACCCTCACCCCGACTATCTTCCAAAAGTTACATTTTTGACCATACATCCGGTCAACCTTGAAGCCTTTTGTCCTCCACTGTTCACTTCGCCGGAGCAGGAAAGACTCCACTCACTGTACCCAGTACATGCCACGGCCACCACAAAGTAGACTGTTGCATTGGGTGAGGGATGCTATTACTCTAGCCTGAGGCACGTGGTCAAGCTTCACTTCAAGGTTTTAGGGCTCATTCTACCTGGGGGGTTGCGTCCTCCAGGGCTTTAGCCCTTGCAGCAAGTATGTGATGCGGCAGGCTGGTCCTCTCCGCACACATTTATTCGATTTTATAGTTTGGATGTTCATGTTACTCCGCGCTCACATGTCCTTTAGTCGACAATGCCCTTCTCGTGTTTGTGCGCACACTACACAACCTTGAGGGGTCCAGACACTTCCAGTGCGGCGGCGTTGGTATTCTCGTTCATAGTGCTTAAATCAAGCGCAGCATTGAGAGTAGCTTTTGAAAGGGAACTTCTCTGGTTACTTGACTGTAACCCTGTTCCCTGAAAAATGAGATGCTGCGCTTCTTTGCTACGCTGGTGGCGTGTCCAGGACGTTTTTCAGACAAAGTGACCTGTTGAGCGCACCTGTCACGCGTCTATTTATAGCCTCTGACTTGCACATTCCGATGACGTCAACATCAGAGTATTTAAGCCAAATTCTTGATGTGTTTGCCACACGTGTTCACAACCGGTCAAACAAAGATGGTTTCGCATAGCGCTTAAATCAAGCGCAGCATCTCGTTCCTGCTTTTTCAGGGAACAGGGTTACAGTCAAGTAACCCAAGACAAACCCTTTAATGTTCTATAGAACCATTTCTATAGAAGAGTGCATGTACTGCATCGAATCAATGACAAATAAGAGTGTTCATGATAAAGAAGACAAAAAAATATTTTAAAGATCTATAAATGTAATCTTTGTTTTCATGTTGGTTTTATTTGTTTTTGTTTTTTAGAACATTTGGTGTAACCGCAAAAAGTAATAACATATACTACCATTCAAAAGTTTGGGGTCAGCAAAAATGTTTTTGAAAGAAATGTATACTTTTTTTCAGCAAGGATGCATTAAATAAAAAAATAACAGTAAAGACTGTATTTCTATATTTAAAAAAAAAAACCTCTTTCACACTTCCACATTTCATTAAGCACCACAAGCATTTTCATATTTTAATAATTAGAATGATTTCTTGAATATTAAATTAGCATATTAGAATAATTTCTTACGGATCATGTAATACTGAAGGCTGAAGTAATGGTTGTTAAAAATGGAGCTTTGCCATTTCAGGAAAACATTTTAATTGTAAAATGAAAATATAAAACAGTTATTTTAAATTGTAATAATATTTATTATATTACTGTTTTTATCAAATAAACTAAACCTTGGTGACCTAAATAAACATAAATGTTGAACTAACCTTGCCTTGTCATTGAATAGTTAAATGTTTTGATAATTTTGACCTTGACTTACAGTCCTGAGGGTCTGCATATTAGTGTTTTTTTTTATAATTTATTACAATTAATTTTAATTAAGAAATGATGTGCCTGATGAAGACCTGATCGTTTGAAACATTAGGCTGTTCATAAATATATACACTCACCGGCCACTTTATTAGGTACACCTGTCCAACTGCTCGTTAACACTTAATTTCTAAGCAGCCAATCACATGGCGGCAACTCAGTGCATTTAGGCATGTAGACATGGTCAAGACAATCTCCTGCAGTTCAAACCGAGCATCAGTATGGGGAAGAAAGTTGATTTGAGTGACTTTGAACGTGGCATGATTGTTGGTGCCAGAAGGGCTGGTCTGAGTATTTCAGAAACTGCTAATCTACTGGGATTTTCACGCACAACCATCTCTAGGGTTTACAGAGAATGGTCCGAAAAAGAAAAAACATCCAGTGAGCGGCAGTTCTGTGGGCGGAAATGCCTTGTTGATGCCAGAGGTCAGAGGAGAATGGCCAGACTGGTTCGAGCTGATAGAAGGGCAACAGTGACTGAAATAACCACTCGTTACAACCGAGGTATGCAGCAAAGCATTTGTGAAGCCACAACACGTACAACCTTGAGGCGGATGGGCTACAACAGCAGAAGACTCCACCGGGTACCACTCATCTCCACTACAAATAGGAAAAAGAGGCTACAATTTGCAAGAGCTCACCAAAATTGAACAGTTGAAGACTGGAAAAATGTTGCCTGGTCTGATGAGTCTCGATTTCTGTTGAGACATTCAGATGTTAGAGTCAGAATTTGGCGTAAACAGAATGAGAACATGGAACCATCATGCCTTGTTACCACTGTGCAGGCTGGTGGTGGTGGTGTGGGGGATGTTTTCCTGGCACACTTTAGGCCCCTTAGTGCCAATTGGGCATCGTTTAAATGCCACGGCCTACCTGAGCATTGTTTCTGACCATGTCCATCCCTTTATGGCCACCATGTACCCATCCTCTGATGGCTACTTCCACCATGTCACAAAGCTCTAATCATTTCAAATTGGTTTCTTGAACATGACAATGAGTTCACTGTACTAAAATGGCCTCCACAGTCACCAGATCTCAACCCAATAGAGCATCTTTGGGATGTGGTGGAACGGGAGATTCGCATCATGGATGTGCAGCCGACAAATCTGCGGCAACTGTGTGATGCCATCATGTCAATATGGACCAAACTCCCTGAGGAATGCTTCCAGCACCTTGTTGAATCTATGCCACGAAGAATTGAGGCAGTTCTGAAGGCAAAAGGGGGTCCAACCCGTTACTAGCATGGGGTACCTAATAAAGTGCCCGGTGAGTGTATATATATATATATATACACAGTATATATTGTATTGAGCTGTAACTTCAGTGTGCAGACAATATTTTTTCTTGTTCATCTGTTTTTACTAGTTACATGTTATTGCTTGCTTTGAAACTCACCTGGCATTTATGAGGTACTGTGCCAGGCTGATGTTGGCAGGTGTTCCCGTAATGGTGATCTGACGGTCTGATGACCCCTCCATGGCATTAGCAATTTTGATCTGAGCCCCAGACATCTGACGGATTTCATTAATTTTGGTGCCCTGACGTCCGATTATGCAGCCTATTAGCTGCAAACATAAAGCAGACAGATTAAAATCAGTTTGGCTAGTGAATGACTCTTCCTTACATTCTTCTTTAATACAATTGTCCAATGAGGGGGTTCCTGAAGACAAAGAATTATGCTCACATCATTTGGAATGGTGAGTTCATGAGTACTGGCCTGTGAACTGGCATCCACACCTAGAAACAGAAAGAGTGGGAGAACTGAGAAACACAGAGAATATTTTATGCAACATTAACCATGTTAAAACCGTACACACTGATTAAAACCTGTTAATTGGTTAACGATAAGTTCCCTTAATACGGTGATATGTATCACCGTATAGTAAGGGAACTTAACGTGAGTTTTGGTAGTGGAAAAAATCAAGTCATCTTAAAATTTACAGTGAAAAACCATAAATTGAAAAACCAATTTCCTGAGTGACACTTCACATGATGGTTTTTCATTGAAATATAATAGTTTTTCTTATCAGTTATGTACATTAGGGTTTTATGTTATACCTTATGTTGTTAAATGAAAATGAATTGCATTATTTTAGTGTTATGTGTGTTACCATGACGCTGTTTTGTATTTGTGTGCATGACACTGTGTGCACCTATTTAGTATTTACCTCAGCTACTTGTAATGAGTTTTGATTCTACATGGCCTTCTCATTACCACCCGAGCTTTTTGGTGGTTGTCAGTGTATTATAAAGGAACAGAACAGATATTATTACTTAATATACTAATAATAGTTAGTATATTAATATTTTATCAATTAATGAAATATGTTTTTTAACTGCAAATTTAAGTTCAATCTGTAAAACCTAAAATGTTCGTTCTGCCAACCACATCTGCCTTTTTTTAATTGTAAATTTCACACAGACTTTTCTTTTCAGTGTAATCTCTCTGTGATCTGTTTATAATGTGACCGATCTTGCCTATCCATCCAAACGGATGTTTGCTCTAGTCTAGGGAGAAGAGAAGTGCCACTCTATAGGATGCAGTAATGCCTGTTCACAGTTTTCTTAAAGGTTCACTATGTAACTTTTGTCCCTCTAATGGATAAAAAAAGAAAACCACATGCAGTTTGCATGAGAACATTGTTTTTCTTCTGCGTGACTGTGTGGATGAATACGACCCTTCACAATAGATAATGGCTGCGTCATAGCATACTCTCTTGAGTAGGTACTTATTTTGAATAAGTAATTACTTCACGACTGCTAAAAAAGTATGTTCTATATAGTATGAATGTGTGTAGTATGACTGAAATCTGGACATACTACATTCGCCATGATGTGACCTACCAGCGTCAGTTGTTTCGTTTCACTGCCATTCATAAATCCTCTCCCGTGGCCTCATGGGATTGTAAAGTATCCATCTTATGCACACTTCAGAATCTCGCCGGAAGAAGTAGGTCATCCGGGTACTTTTTGACTACTCTTTTATGAGTACTGTGAATTTGGCCATACTTCTTTTTTTCACATACTGTTTTTGTCCTACTATATAGTAGGGAAGTATGCAATTTTGGATGCAGCCATTGTTTTACAATGAACTTTGTTAGAGAGCTACATATCTGTTCAATAAAATACCTTTCTCACCTGTAGGGGTGTGCGATATTGACAAAAAAAATTATATCTCGATATTTTCTGGGATTTTCTCGATAACGGTTATTAGACAATATTTTGCTGAGTGTGTTTATTGTGTTGGTACTTTGGCAGGTTTAGGACTGTCGTGGACAGCCGACTCCTAAAGTTTTTGATATTCTTCATACTCTGTGTTGTGGTCAGGTCACAGTAGTGACAGAATTGTTTTTTCCCAATATGTTTCAATTGATTTTTACCTAATATGGGCATTTTTACCTTTTATAAAGCCATTTTTTTAAACCTAATTATATGCATGCATGCATCATCTTTTGTGTCAATTTCATAAATTTAATCAAATTCAATTATACAAATAAGACACAATAGGGCTGTTACCAATCAAATGAAATCAGTATCAACAAAATTCATCTTTGCAATATTGAATATTGATTTTTAAAATGATTTAAAACAAGAAAAGATACTTTAAATGTGAAATTGAAACCGCCAGTAGGTGGCAGCAAGTCACTGTTAATGAGCGAATCATTGAGATTCAACCGATTCATTCAAACGGCTGATTCATTCAAGGAAAGAAGCATTTGACTATCTTAAAGCTGCAGTCCGTAGTTTTTCCTCTTTGTCGCCATCTCTGTTTTCTTGCATGTACTTGCTCGAAATCAGCAACTGCAGTTAGTCGCGGAATTATCAACTTTACGTGGGTTGTGCCTCGGCACGGCACAGCGCGGATAAATCCAATGTTTTGCAGAGAATGTGTGGCTGTCAGTCACCTCACGGTGTGGATACTGTCATTCGGAATCACCGATTCTACTTTTTGGAAGTATGACCAACATAAGAATTTTCACTGGAAAATGTCATCTGAACAAGTAAGTAACATCCACTTTTGTTCTGACCAACTAAGGAAAAAAAAGCATTGCAGTAAATCGTGCTGATTAAATCTAACGATCGCTTATCATATCATGTCAAACCGTACAAATTATACTTTGTTCTCGAATTGTTAATGTTAACAACATCAGCATTGCGTGACTACATTTAATGCCCTTCCGATATTTATCCTTGTTTTCGCATGGGTCCGGTTGCAGTCTCTTTTTTTCTGTAGCCACTCCGAAGTCCGAAGTCTTTTGCATTTTACAACGGGTGAATCTCCAGTTGTCACTGGTGATTGTCGTTTGAACCTTTCTGGATCCACCATCCAATTAAAAAGTTTAATTATATCAAGTGCTGTGAGAAAAGGCTATAAATCTCCACCTCCAGCATCCTCACACGCAATATAGCCTACTAGCCGAGACTCCTTCTTTATGTGTACAGATGTGACGTAAAGACGCAAAGATGATGCTCGAATCTCCCGCGGAAATCCACCAGTACCACTGTAATTAAAAACATTATTACAAGCTTACCGTTTTGAATCAAGCTAAGGCAAGCAGATAGTTTTGAACACTGGCTGCATGTACTTGCTCAAATTTATTTTGGATAATTTTTAACCCAAAAAAGTTAAGGACTGGAGCTTTAATCTATCCTAGTCAACTTATTTGTTCAAAAAGCTGATTCACTCAGTAAGGAAACACCGCAGTGTGTGGCTTTGTTTTGAACTATTTTCATTGGCGAAATAGAGCAAAAACAGGCAATATGGTGTCTAAAATGTAAGTCACTTAATATTAACTTCTTGTTTATTAAACTTGTATAAAATCAATATCACATTTGTTATCATTCTGATATTTGGAGAAAAACTGCACTCTTGTGATATTTATTATTAAATGATATAAATAAAGACTAAATTAAAGCATTAGAGTGAAAGCGTGCACTCTAAATGCGCACCCGCACTATTCTAATCTACAAGACTACATCACATACAGTAGAGTATGCATGCACTGTCTGTGTGAGGGATAGGCTATACTTGATAATGTCAAATAGCACATTGTTAAAACAACAATTACGATATTATCGCAGACAATATATTTCACACACCCCTACTCACCTGTTGAGTAATAAAATGCCATCTCCGTGTCGCTTTTACAGATTTCAAAATCCCTCAATTCTAGCCATCTCCGAAAAGCCAAGCCAAGCCAATGTTGATTCTCGTTTTATTACGAGCTCTGTCGCGTTCTCTTTTTGCCAGCAGACTCTGTTCATTTCACTCGGCGGCCATCTTTGAAATACCTCTCGGGCAGTCATGCACAAATCCTATGTCTTTTGAAAGGGGAAAAATCTAATTCTCCAAAGCTGTTCACCAAACTTTAGATTAAATTACATATTTGAAATCACCAATGAAATCTGACAACAACTGGCTCATAAGTGTTGTTTCTTATGCTCAGACAGCATAAGCTTATTTTTTTTGGCTAGACCAGCCAATGCGTGTGTGCAGTCTTAAGTCGAGTCTCAGAACACTGATTCTGTATTCTAATTGGCATACTATCCTTCCTAAATAGTATTCAAAATTAGAATTTGTGTGTCTTAAATTGTAGTATTTTGAAATGAGAATTCCAAAGATACCTGGATGGTCTACTTTTTCCAGTTAGAACTCGAAATGCAGATCCATGCACACTCTAATGGCTAATATTGCCCATTGCACGTTGGATGAGTATTCGATTAGAACTACAAACACGAAAAAAAAGTGTTAAACTACAAACATGGTGATTGTGCGAGTCTGACTGTTAAGTAGAGGTTTACAAAAAGGGGTTTGAGTGATTAATAATCAGTATCTAACCTGATGAAAAGATATTTATGTTATCCACATTATATTTCATCTGCAACAGCATTGTGAACGTTTGTAAAGATACGTTTGGTCATTAACTTTTAAATGCATCATTATGTAAATTGCAAACAGATGACGAGAGTTCTCCACATGAAAGACTCACGATTGGCAGATCAACGTGTTTCTACAATTCTCTCCAAAACGATAGGACATTAAATTAAATTGATGTGGAGGACTTTAACTGTGTCAAGATGATTGACAGGGCAGTTTACACAGTGACATGTCAGGATGCATGTAACTAAGCGACAGAGCTATAAGTTAAAGATACAATTATGACGAAGCAGTATGTCCCAAAGCTTGTCTATACTGCTACACACTCAAAAGTATGTACTTTTTCTTTACTAAAACTACATACTTTTAGGGCATGGGGTGAATTCAGGTTGATTGGGTCAACCAATCAACCTGAATTGGGTCAACCAATCAACTTGAGTTCACCCTAGTATAAGTAGGCAAATTGGGATTCTATAGCAACTGGAGCTTGCAGCTGCAGTGATGCGATGACTTTACAGACCGGCAATTGGCTCTTTTATGTAGAGGGTGGGACTTATTCCGCAATATTGCGTGCTCTGCACTTTCTTCCTTTCAAAAGTAAAATGAGTGCACCATCTTTGTATAAAGTCTTTGAGTCAAAGTAGCTAGAGCAATTTTTCTTTTGTTAGGGATGTGACGAGAAATGCATGGGCAAGTGCGTCTCGAGGTCTAAAGTATAAACACTTATAATAGGCTTACCATAGTGAATCAGGGTAAGACAAAAACACGTTTTGGAAGGGATTGATGAAGTATTTACTCATTATTTAAATATTTTAAAATTATGAAATAATTTTCTAACAAAAAGTTACATAGTGTACCTTTAAGTAAATTTAAATCTTAAATGCAATGAAAAGTATATGATGGATTGTCTAGTTACCCATCCAGGGGGAGAAGAGTGAAAGACAAGAAAGTGAATGAAAGACCTACAGGTATATAGTGAAGGGTGTGTAGCGGGAGGGTTGGGTACGTACCAGGGAAAGCGGGGGTGGTCTGTCCGAGGGAGGTAAAGGGGGTTTGCTGCATAGCCAGCTGATGAAGCTTTGTCAACTGCTGGGGGAGGGAGGAGGGTCAGTAGTACACCTAAGAAGTTATCATTAAATAAAGGAGTCCTGCTTGGACCTTTACAAACTCATCTAGACACTAACAAGGGGAAGCTGTGAGAAATCTCACGTATGACTGCCTTCTATTGAAAACACATAAATATAGACCTATCAATTGTATGAAATAAAGCAGGTCATGAAAAAGAAAAAGCAAAGGTATCAAGAATGTTACACTAAAGAGGGATGAAGGATTAGAAGGTACATTTTACTCACGTCTGGGTGTGGAATGGCATATTGTCCCTGAATGGTGTAGGTCTTAGATGGAAATGGAAAAGAAAGAGAATTTTCAAACATTATCAATGTACATAGAGACGAATGTAGTCAATGTACATACACTTTTTTAAAGATTTGTTATATGTTCAATGATAATTAAATATTATGAGTGGAACACATGCATGGGGCAATTCATTTCATGGACTGAATGAACTATGTGACATGAAATATAAAATTTCACTACAAAAAAAGTTACTATTTAATAATTTTTACACACAGGAGTCTGCATTGGAAATATAAAGTCGTCAATGGATGTAGTTCCTTCCATTTTGTGCACAGAAGGGTGAATGTTTTACAGCTTGAATTTATTTAATAATTAATGCATTTTACAAGATTAACACTTGTTATTTTCTAGTTTATTAATGTGAAGCTGCTTTGAAAGCACTATAAATAAATAACTTGGCTTGACTTATGTACATGAAATGCAAGGAAGATTTAGGATTTTGTGCACAAAAAAGTGCTCACATTACATTTCATCCGTTGATTAAATCCAACTACATTGATTTTGTCTTTCTGTGTACAAATTGCATTAAAATGTAACGGTATTTTGTCAGAATTTCTTCAAGTGTTTAATTCAATCCAATTACCAGGTTACATTTGTTGCCCCAGGAATATGAATACTTGTTTACAACTTGGAATTGTCTGTAGTTGTAGTGTATATTCTGACCATACTTACAGGCAGAGGCTGATGCTGCAGTAACAAGCTGAGGTTGGCTGTGGCCGGAGCTGTCAGTGTGTCTGCTCTTACCTGGCCCCCAGAGAAAATGACTGGTGCAGTGGCAGGCTTCGGCCTGTATGGAATTGTAGCACCTTTGGGTGGGGACTGGCAAAAGAAAAGTAAGGGTAAAAATGTAATAGATCTGGGTTTCCCAAACAGGGGGGTTCATGAGGGAACTGCAGAGGGTTTGTGAGTTTATGAAATGCTAATAATAAATTACATTAAATGTAAAATTAAAATAAATAAATGGGGCTACACGATATAGCCTGGTGCGATTATCAAATCAAAGGCTGCAATTTAATTAACTCTATAGTCTAAGCATGAAGCAAGCAACACATTTCATTATTACAACTATCAAATATTATTTATTTTTATTTTACAGTATAACAGTAAAATGTCTTTAATTTTTTTATTAGAGTTAAAACTACTTTTACTACTACTGCTAGTACTACTACTACTAATAATTACAACAACAACAACAACAACAATAATACAATTATTACTACTGATGTCAGAAAACAGTAAACATGCAAACGTGTTGTTAAATTATCAACGTAAAATCTCAGGGTCCGTATTTTTTATTTTTTTTTACATCTAAGGGGTTTGGCTGATAAATAAGTAGGGGAATCTTTGTAATACATGACTACATGGTTACCAAAATGAGACTATGATTTAACTCTCTCTTTGATGCTGATATATAAATCTGAACATCTACTGTAAATCTGTGTCAAAACAAACAAAAAAGATTCCCTAGGAATAATTCACCAAAAATTCAGTCATCAGTTCCTCACCCTCATGTTGCGATAAACCTTTATGACTTTTTTATTTCCACAAAATAAGCTATTCTGAAGAATGCTTCAGCTTTTTTTTTTGTTTATACTATGGGAGTTAATGGGGTCCAAACCTTTTTAAATTCCAAAAAAAGTCTGTACAGATACCGTGAAATGAATCCATACATCAACATTAAACCTCTTTGATTCTTGCATACCCTGATGTCTGGCAACATGTATGTGTGAACTGATCAATGTCTGATTTGTGAGTTAATAAGAGTTACATTTGATATGTTTACACTACATTTATCTCATTTTTGTAGCATGAAAGTTTTGTACCCCATTGACAAGACCATTTGAAACATTCTAAAAAATATCTTCTTTGTGTTCCACAGAAAACTGAAAGCCATATTTGGAATGACAACAAGAGTTGGATGAACTATTCCTTCAACCTCAAAACCACTGTAATTGGTCTTTTCCTTACCTCCAACATGACCACACAGATCTGCTTCACACACTGGATAATGGCCTCTGGAGCACCTGAGATCGTGACTGCACGTTCAGTGGAATTGGGCAGCATGTCTCCAGCCACTTGCACCTGAGCCCCTGTAGACTGGAGAAAAGCACAGTCAGCCAGGATAGAGACCCCTAGCACACAGAAAGTACCATACTTGTTCCTGTATATCTAAGGCATGGTAACATTTAGAATTTTGCAGTTGTAGTTGTTGAAGAATGATGGCATTGTTTGGATATACTGTATGCATTGTAATAAAATGCACGTTATAAAATTTGTGGATAATAAAGAAGTTATTAGTTTAAACATACCTCCCTCATCTCCTTGATCTTGGAGCCCCCCTTCCCAATTAGAGAGCCACACTGACTGGCCGGCACCACTAAGCGCAAGGTCACTGGAGGCTTACTTGTGGCCTGGCTGTTGCTCATAGAGTTAATGATATCCTGGGTACAACCAAAACATCAGTTACAGTTTTTATTGACTTATTTTGGGGTTTTAATTGTAAATATAACATTTTCATTCAAAAATGATGTCTGATACTTCTTCAAACTTGTATGCGATCATGGCGAAGGCCTTGAATATGGCATCTGTGGGTCCTGTGATGGTAACTATCCTCTCTGGGCAGTTCCCCTCTGAAATATTTATGCGTGCACTACTCTGTAGAAACAGATTGTCTAGTTTTTTAATAACCATGTTGCACTTATCACAGCACATACAATTATTTGTATCATTACTTACTTCCTCACGCATCTTCTTCACAGTTTCCCCTTTCTGAAAAGAATGCATTGTTTGATAAAACACAGACTGTTAATGCTTATACAAATTTTTGCTAAATACATGTTAAAATCCATTCATTAATTTAATAACTGACTGATACAAACTCAAGGGTTTGCAAGGATTGACTTGGAGGCTGAATGTAGCAATTTACCTTGCCTATGATGCTGCCAACCTCCTGCAAGATAAAAAGAGAATGTGTTTGGTAATTACGAACTTACAATCCAATTATTGTGCAGCCTAAAACACATGTATGGGGAGCATAACACATATGTAAAACCAAAGAGCCTTAAAAAAGGTTCCTGTGATTGTAAAGATCATATCAGATTTTTGTTAGATCTATTTTTTAAGGCCTTTTCGTCCTCTTACAAAACATACTGTGTCCACAATCTATTTTTTTAATCACTGGAAGAAGTATTAACATGGAGTAGTAAATTTTGTATATTGAAATTTTAGATTAGGTGCATGTTGTTCTTGTACCTTGCCGTGCATTAGGAGCCTAATAGTTAGAGTGACATTGAGCCCTCCTTCAGACTGCACTTTGTTGGGCTCCATGGTGAGGATATAGGATTGGGTGAATGACTTAGGATCTTACAGGAGCAGTTCAAAAATGCAGGGGCCAGTGGTCACCACACAGTCACCTAAAAGTTCAAAAGAAGCAAACACACAAACAAAACCTTAAATGCTAATTTTTTATATTTTCATCTTGAAACAAAAGCAGATTAAAATATATTATTAGAAATCAGAGAAACAAAGGTTTTATGGAGTAATCTGAGTCATTTAAATTCTTATACTGTACATCTTCCCACGTTCTTAAAAATAAAGGTTCTTTACTGGCATTAGTGGTTCGAAGAACCTTTATCATTCAACTTTCCATTGCACATAAGATACTTTATAGTGGAAATTGGTTCTTTAAACTGTTCTCTGAGAGATTTTTTATTTTATTTTAGAACTGAAAGGTTCTTTGGTGAACCAAAAATGGAAGAGTGCAGGACCAAGTTTTGGTTGGTTAACATCAGTGGAGTTTATAATACACTCTTAAAAGTAAATGTCCTTTATTGGCATTGTGTCACGTTTAGATTCCAGAAATGATGAAGGCAGGTCAAGAGTTTCAAAATAGTAACAAGGTTTATTGACAGAAGTGAACAACTTGAGACAGAGTGCATAGAAAACACCAACAATACCGGACAAAGACAGAAAGGAAATGAGCCTTTACTTAAATCAAAGATAAGGAACTCAATAATGATCAGCTTTGATAATTAAATCAATATCCATGGTAACAGATGACTGGCAGGAAAACTAGAACAAAGGAGACAGGAAACAGACGATAAACAAACTAAAAGTCCATGAAGTGAAACTAACTGAAAATAATCTTGACTGAACGCCTCCATCCAGGAAGGAACAAGGGTTGAGACCTCCAAAGGGACGTGAGTATGGGAGGAGTGGCCAGGTGGTACAACAAAGCACAGCCAGGGGTGTATTTCCCAGACAACAACGTAACTCGCTGCTTACTGTACCATAGTACGATGCATCATTGAAGAAATCAAGTAGCTAGTCATGACTATTTCCCGAAACCGTATTGTCGCAAATTGGTCATTCAACCACGTTGGTTAATGATGTCATGCAGGTGGTGGAGTAATAACTTCTTTTAATAAATCTGTTTGAGATCGAATTAATGCTAGATGTTTTGCTATAAATTATATATATTTTTTCTCAGTTATTTTGTTTAATTTCCAGATTCAATCATAGGCTCGTTCTTACGTACGGTACTAGAGCACATTCGCACATGCACACACTTCAAAAACGGTGCTTTAAATCTCTTGACAAACTAAACAACATAAATGACATTTGTATGTATTCTAAATAAAAGATACAGATTGCACTGAATGTCAGCTTGCTTATTTTGCTCAAGATAAGTATTTATTGAGTCCACATGTCATGAAAACAAGAAACTATGCCCCTAACCACAGATCGAGAGCTGTCGTTCCAACCACACAACTTTGCGATGCTGTTTGCGAATGTTCGTTAGAACGATGGTTTCGGGAAACACTGACTCGTTTGACTATGTTGATAACGACGGAACTTGGGACCATAATTGGCTAACGATGCTTTTGGGAATCGCACCCCAGGACGATAGCCCAAGGTGGAATCAACGGGGGGAGGAGCCATGGTGGAGCTTTGGCTGATGACACCTGGGGGACGACTAACGGAGATGAAGCCATAGGAAGTGGAGTCCAGGGTGCAGACGGAGAGCAGATGGGGATGGCCCAACGCCATCTCACGACCAATTCGTACAAATTCGAAAGAGTGTTTAAAAGGTGGCTAATTTGTACGAATTCGTATGACCTCACTCGTAGGAATTCGTACGATTTGTCTAAACCCTCGTGATGGGTAGGTATAGGGGCGGGGTCAGGGGTAGGTCATTCGTACAAATGCATACGAATTGGGCAACTCGTAAAATATATACGATTTAGCAAAAATCATACAAATTCGTACGAGTGAGGTCGTGTGAATTCGTACGAATTAGCCACCTCCTAAAATTCGTACGAATTGCCGTGAGATCGGGTTGGGTGGCCATCACGATGGTCCAGGAGGCCGAGGCGGAGCCACAGCATCAAGCGTCTGAGGTGAAGCCAGAGTGCCTGAGGACTGAGACGGAGCCGCTGCGTACCCGGAGGGAAGGCAGAGCCCTCTGGAGGCGAAGGGGTGGAGAGATGGAGCGCAGCAGATGGCTTGAAAGTCCGTGGCGCAGGCAGGGTGACATCTGACCAAGGTGGAGCCGTACGGACGACAGTCTGCCGACAGGTCTGCGGACCAAGGTGGAGTGACAGGATTAGCGGCTGGAGACGGAGCCAGGGGATCCACTTGCTTGGATGAAGCTGGTGACCGGAAGACCAGAGGCATAACCACACAATGGCATGGTGTTAGGGGAGAAGTCGATGGGCTGAAGGGAACCAGCGGAGGCGGGGCTGACGGACTTGCTGAATAATGCAGTGGAGGTGGGAGAGGGAGGCTGGGCGGGATCAGCGATGATAACTCCATCTCAATACAAGACGATGAAAAAGGTATTATGCTGTGCAGGACCAGCAGCGATGATGAAGATTCAGAAGTTATAAAGCAGGGCAGGGTGGAAAGTATTACCTCCATTTCCCAGTCTATCAAGCACTCGTCAGTGTCCAGCTCCACCAATGTCCCCTCTGTCACGGATGTTGTATAGGCTCACACACCTCAGACTTACTTTGGGGCTTTGGCTCCGCAGCGGATGTGGCTGCAAGCCAAGGCTCCTTAGTGTGGCGGGCATAAGCTTCCCATCTGCGATGGGCTCTAGTTTGTAATCTGTTTGCGGCATGGAGGGTGGCTGGCTGGGCTCTGGACTTGGCTGCGTGGTGGGCTTTGGGTTCGGGGTAGGCATACTCCAGACACTCGAGAACTGCTTCTCTCCATGTTTCCTCCTTCAGATCAGATCCCCAATCAAGAAAAGAGACTTCAAAGTGCCATTATCATAGTTCGTTCATTCTGTGATCTGGCAAAATTGAAGTGAAAATTCAAACAATGGAAGCCCAGCACATGCAAGAGCAATAAACTGTTTGCCTTGAACCATAATCCTTTTTAGGTCTGGTATTCTGTAATGTTTAGATTCCAATGATGAGGAAGGCAGTAGTGATGTAACATTTGACACTGAAGCTTCAAAATGCGTATCGAGTACACAGCGCAATTTTTCATGAAGCTCCGTGTTGGAGCGCGTATTGTTTTCAGAGAAACACGTGATCAACGAAAAGCGAAGCCTCACTTTCTTTCCAGTTCTGGAATGCTTCACTTTGCGTGTCGGAATGTTTGAACCCAGACCACTAACACTAACAGACTACAGTATTTTGGAAGTTTAAGTCCATTCACTAACAATTTTTTTTCCATAAATAAGCCTATATGTTACATGATCATATATTCTGACACATGCAGCATAGAAACCATAAAATAATTAGACCAACATTTACTTGCATAAAACAACTCTGTTGGTATTAGTATAATTATAATTAGTATTAATATAATTGTTACATTTAATTTATTGCCACACATTAATATGTGAATTATATTATCAGAAAACTGAACATTTAACGTTGTCAGGCTTTTATTTGTGGTTAATGGATAAAACAACAGAGCTGTGCTCATAAACTTGGCTGCTATAAATTTGACCTGCCACAAGATGCGGCTGTATTCGACACTCTTGATGCTTCAAATCTTTTTCCGAAACATTCAGGGGAAAGCCTCAGTGCTTCATGAGGCTTCATTTGCCCATCCCTAGAAGGCAGGTTAAAAGTTTCAAAATAGTAACAAGGTTTATTAACAGACACAAACAACATAAGACAGTGTGCATAGCAAACACCAACAATACTGAACAAAGACAGAAAACAAACGAGGAACTTAAATACTCAATGATAACAAACTCAATAATGATCAGCTGTGATAATTAAAGGAATATCCATAGTAACAGATGACTGGCGGGAAACCTAGAACAAAAGGGACAGTTAAAAGACAACAAACAACCTAAAAGTCCATGAAAGTGAAACTACCTGAACATAATCGTGACACATTGATGGTGAAGAACTTCCTTTTAGAACCTTTTATTTTTCAGAGTGTATCTGGTGAAAGCTAAATCACTAAATCTGTCCATAAATATAAAGTAATGCGTTGAAAATTTTCTTGCAAACAATGTATAAATCACAAATATGTATTTTGCAAGGCTATTAATAGCATTAAATAATTATATATTATTATTACAGCAGCCTTTGATCTTACAGATTAGGATAGTCGCTAATTAATGAATTGTGTGTGTTTTGTACTTGTATGCCATTAGCCAAGTTTATCAGCAGGACATGATTTTCCTGTGGCTGCATAAATTCATGGCTCAGGCAGCTGAATGAAATAAACAGGTAATATGTGTATCAAATAAAATGTTGTTTTATTGTTCAAACAAGAGAGTATAGACTATATAAAAAAGAAAAGCTTTTTGGAAAAACAGGAGACATTAATCTAAATAAGCTACATGTCTCAAAATGTTGAGAATGTTGCTTTGCACATATCAGACCAGCAGGCAGTGGTAGCAAGGGACAGATAGAGATGGATGAGATCTAGCCAGATGTCCTCCAATCTCCCACAGGATGCCAGATTATGCAAAGACTTTAATCCAGATTAACAACATCCAGCGGTTGGTGTCCCTCTTAACAGCAAAACTAATCTACAGAAATCCACTACGATCCGTGCCAGGCCTGAAGACTAGAAGCGAATGGCAATTAAACTTCCTGGGTCATAAAAAAAGAAGAGGTTGCGTGTCATTGAGACAATTCACATCTTTATGATTTCAAATATTGAAAGCTCAAGAGCATGTTGAACAGTATATACATTTTGGAAGATTTTTTTTTACATTTTTTATCACAGTGATGAGGGAGCATTATACACAACACATTTTCATAAGGGCCAATCAGGCCAAAACAGATGGCATTGTTTTGTGCAAAGGGGATCATAGATGAATCAGACCTACTAAAGAGAGTGTGGACAGGAGCTTTGTTTTTGCATTGTTATCTAATTAGAGTTTTGCTTCTTTCTGATGTGATGAGGTTGTGCAGAAAACAAAATGGCCACATATGGCACCGTTTGAGGCATGTTTGCTTCAAATTAGCAAACTCATTCTGTTTTTCAAACTCATGTTTTCATCGTTTCTACACATGAACACACTGATACAAAAGTCTATGCACTAACAAACAGAATCCTAGGTTTCTTGTTCTCTTTTATTAGTAAGTTAGACATTAGCATTATATAGTAAATATGCTGCATTATGCAGCCAGTCTGGTTCTACCAGAATGCTTGAGGGTGCTAAACACTATCAAAAGAATGTACTGTAGGATCACCCTCAGCGAAAACTGTTGTAATAATATATTAGCATAGCAGATTTCACTGACTAGCTAAAGCACACACCACAATCATTTTCCAAATCAGTCTTCTAATTTGCTGTTGTAAATAAGGCATGCTTTCATGCCAACAACATACACTTATGACCTCAGCTTGCACATATTGATGGTGGACATTTTCACTGCCTATTTTTTTCGTTTATTGCTCCAGGATAAAGTTGCCTGTAACTGTTGGTCTGGGATAAGTTTCACAGAGCTAAATCCAAACCTTAACGATTAGTGAAATGTAAAAGCTGACTCTGTATCAGTGATTGCAGACACCTGCTATCTCTTGCTGTGTTTACAGTATGTGCAGAGAAAACGTATTAATTCCTGAAATTATTATTATATATATTTTAGATTTAAACTATCAATGAATGTACTATTTAAATTGTTTTTTAAATAAACAAAGGCGGTGTAAAAAATAATTTAGTATGTTTTGATATTAAAAATGATATAAGCTGCCCTTAGAACGATCTTCCTCTTTAAAATACATTTTACTGCTCTGTTCTATACAATCTTCTTGGCCATTTCTTTTGGTTTTCACTGGCACGTTGTATGTTAGTTACACCCAACCCAAAAGTCAAGTCTGGTTTGATTCAGCCATTCTTTTTTTTTCATGGTTTTCATCCTTTTTTTATACTAAGACAGCAAGATCATGTCTGTTTAATATTTTTTTAAATACTATTGCACAATTTATCAAGTATTGACGTTATAACACTGAATGTAGAGTAATTACGTATTATAATTCAACCTCACAGTCCACTGTTGTAGGCTATTGAATAACAGTGGTACAATACTTAAGTACCATGGCTTACATAGTTTAACTATCAGAGAACCCCCATTATTTTCAGAAGCACCATCAGTGATTTAGTCCTGTGCATATAGCATTGTAAGAGCAGCACTGCTCATGACATCTGATTGGGAAAGTGGGTCAAGCTTTCTACTAAAGAGCTTCTGGCCTCTTCCTCTGTAGCGGCTATTAAATTAAGCACGCTTTGTGCATGGCTGAGCAATGCTCAGAAAAAGCTCCCCCCGTTTCCATTGCGCATCTCTGCACTGCATTCAATGTAGAAATTTTTTTATTGTAGAAGAGGGTCTTCCCTCTCTGCAATGTGACTAAGGTTTTAGTTCCAATAAAGAATGACGTCTCTTATTTAAACCTACCGAGGCATGAACTGCATTGAATACAGGAAGGAGATATTAACAATGAGAAACCATTAAAAAGAGACTTTTTTTAATCAGACTTTATTTGTATTATATACAATGTCCTTAATTGTAACTTTTAACTGTAATTGTAACTTGGTCATCTTGCAACATGCATGAAGGGAAATGATTTCTGGAATTTATTGTTCCATAATATATATATTTTTAATATATAATTGTCATATAATTTTATAATATTGTCCTGTCCACTGTGGGATTATTTAATTATTTAATTACTGTGATTGAACACAAACCCACAATTACACCGAGACAACATTTAGAAAGGTGGTTTTATATTTAATAAACCAACTAATTAGTTAGAATTCAGGAACAGTAATAATAAAACAAAATTATTTTCTGAAACCTGTGATCCATCCAAGAAATACGAAACATAACATTTTCTTGAATGATATCAGTTCTACTTACATTGTCACTGTCTCTGTAAAGCATTCACTCAGTTTGATAGCTTCTAACCGTGTAAAATAATGGAAATTTAGTGTACACTATATGCTATGTTTTAGCATTAACTTATTTAGTTGAATTTTTTTTATGTTGCATAAATGTTGCATACTCATGGATAGCCAAAAATGACTTTAAGGTTTAAATCAGATTGTGAATCACCCAGAAAACCAAGTGAATGAATTGATATAGCCATTTTATGATGATGATAATCTGGATAATGGCTGTACAGTTCCTTTTGTTCTGATATTTTCAGTTCTGATCAAAGTCAATTCCGGCACAATGCCACCTCAACTATCTGTCACATACAAAGGCGGTGCAGATATACACAGACAAGTCTCGTGGTAATTACCTAGTAATTAAATTATCCAACATAAGCTTAGTTAAATGTACATATTGTTGTGCAGGCAGCAGTGAGGAAGAAATAAAGGACATCTAATTGACCAGTTCTCCCAAGAGATAGCCACACTTTTCTCAAACATATATTGCTCTTTTGTATTTGTTTAATTAGGTGTAGTGACTCATTTAGGAATGTCCTCGAGAATCAAATCCAGCCATTTCCGAACAATGTGCAGCAAGGTTTAAACAATAGTTGTAGCGATTCATGAATTAATGATGTGTTTGACCTACGGGCGGCCTAGAAAACAAAACTAGTTCCAAAGCGAATACGGTAAAGGTGTTTTAAACCAACATCTTGATCATTTTGTAATGCTATTTATAGTAAGATCAGTGAAAATTAAGTATAACGTCAACATTTGTGTGTTTGTTTTCAATCAAAATAAATGCAAAAATACATTGAGAAAAAATATCATAATTTGTAGGTTACATATTATTAATTTCCATTGTATTTCAAATTTTGATTGCATATCATAATAAACATGCAAAACAAAACATCATACTAAAACAACATCAGAAAACCCTAAATATAGAAGCATGAAAAGAGGCTTTACCTTTGGTGCTACTGGAAGCAGATGGCCACCACTTTCGACGTTTGCGAAAAGATTAATAAAAACCGAACGACAGGCAAAGGGAAAATTATTTTTTCCCTTTCCTCTTGGTTAACTCAGATTGAAAGGTGGCATCCAATTGGCTAGAAGATGGAGTCATGTGAACACAATGTCACAACACGTGACTTTGTGGCGAAACAGAATGATGACAAAATGCAGTTGGACTAGAGTGATTTTGGGGTTCGGTTTTGATCTTCGGACAGTGTTGTGAAGAGCTGAAAGCGGGTCAGGAGACCATTGGTGCAGGGGCACAGGGGTTTCCCCTCCTGCGAGATATTCGGATCTGTCCAATGAGACACTCTGATTCAGCAAAAACAATTGGATGACACTCATCGGTGTCATCCGTGTTCTTTACCCATAGGGTGTCCTGGTTATGATGATATATTTACTCCTACAATGAGTAACATAAGTAAATCTCCTAATCACCCCCTGCCCCACATCAACAAACAAAGCACCAGTGTTTCAAACCAAAGACATAGAGTATAATAGTTACTAACTTCAAAACAACACTGACCACTTTCCTCAGTGATATTAATAGAGTATTTACATCTTTATATTATACAGCACACAGTCGTGAATTATGATGACGGGCTGTCCTTTAATGTTATGTTGCTGCCCCAATGTACTCCACTTTCAATTTTATGCTCAAGCCAGCCCAGAATTACAATGAGCTTTAGCGTTCTCCTCCATGGATTAAGTGACCCAGAGCAAATCCATAGCGATGTCAGGACAGTTATGAAGGGATTAAGCTCAGTCATTATGACTGAAGTACTCCGTTCAGAAAGTCAGTGTAGGCTACATATATTCTATATTATTGTACTTACATGGGACATTAGAGGGGGTTATATATACAGTATTTATATATATATAAAATACAAATAATGTGCTTTTCTGTCCCACTTTATTCTAATTGCTGCAAAACCAAGTCACTATAATATGTTCCTGTGGGCTTTACTTAGCCCCCTTATTAAAAACACGCACACTTATTATATAGAAAAGATTGTCATGATAGAGTTTGGAAAACTTTACTAATTGGTTTATGATCTTTGCTGCGACCATAACGAAGGGTGATACGCAGCCGACTATTGAATGGCCCCTGGGAAAATGACACAAATAGAGCATTAAATTTGCTCCACATTGATACTGAAGCTCCAGATTGTTGCGAAGAGAAAGGCTTCCCAATCAAAGGAAATAAAGTTGATGTTCAGGCATCTTTGCTGTAAATTGTCACACAATCACTTTCCAACCCCATTCTTCTTTGGAGATATTGGATGCTAAGCCTGTACCTCAACTGAATGTCAAGTCAGATACACACAGTACTGGGTCAATATAGTCAAAATAATTCTCTCTGCCGACATAAAATAGGTCATTCTCTAAGGTTTAGGACACATTTATAATATATGTATCAATATCTCATGAGCCCCTATTAATTATCATTTAAATAAACAATGTTTCATTGTGTGGATTTGTGTGATTTAGGGGACATCAGGAATGTTTGCAACAGTAGTTTTTGCCTTAACATTTGGGATGTAATATATACTCTTCCTGTCTGTTCAGGCATGATGTTTCTAGTTTTATTTTATTATTAAAGTGAAAGTTTTGAGTTGATGCTATATTTAAAACTATATGTCAATATAAGTAAAATGTGGATTTTTGCTTATAAAATTGACTGTTTTAAGTAAGAGAAAGAGTGAAAAATGGTCCTAGGGGGGGAAAAAAAAACTTGACTTACATCATAAGGTCACATCTATTTAAAGACATTCATTGAACAATATAGGGTTTGATATACTTTCCAGGACAAGTTTGGAGATATTGAACTTAATGAGTGTATGACATGTCACTATGGTACCTCTCTATCACAATACCCAGTCTACATTGCCCCCAGCAAGGAGAACAGCCTCAATTCAGTCATTGACATTCCCTGGTACACACATCATTTCAGTTATCTAATGGGCCCAGAGAGGCATGAAGGACAAAGAAGCATCCTATAGGCAAACTCAATACACAGTACAGGCCACTCTCCAAAGTAGTATTAAAGAATAGTCTATTGACTATATTCACTAATTAGCAAAACAGATTTATTTAACTTATGAACCCGATGAGCCTTATGGCATAACAATTCATAATAACCCCAATTTTTAGTACTACTGTATGTTACTACTATTTGTTTATTTTAAAATACATTGATCTTGTCATGAAAATAGCCATATATGCTGGTATGGCAATACAAAAAACAAACAAACATAATAACCATTGTTGTGAAAGAAAAGAAAGTGAGTGAGGACAGTGAACCTGATACCTGTGAAAGTGGAATTCTCATGTTATCAGGTTTGAGAAGCAGTGAAATATCAGGGCTCAGACATGGGTCGTTGCTTAAATTCACAGTAATGGGGACGCATGTTTTATGGGAAGGCTCCATCTCACCTGCATGGGACCAAAGATTAGGCTATATTAGGGCCTGAATGTTCCTTGTTGTATAAAGTTATCAATCAACAGGCATCTGAATAAAATGTATTTTTTCCCCCTTATAATATGCTCAGTATTCTGTTATTTATGTTTACATTTAATAATTTAGCAGACGCATTTATCCAAAGTGACTTACGAATGAGGAGAACAATAGAAGTAATCAAACTATAGGTCAACAATATGCAAGTGCTTTGACTAGTCCCAGTTAGTCTAGCACAATACACGTAGCAAGGCATTTTTAATATATAATATATAGTAAGTGTTAGTATTGGGTCAAGTGTTGACAAAAAATATGCGTCTTCAGTCGTTTCTTGAAAATGGCTAAAGACTCAGCAGCGCGGGTTGAATAAGGCAGGTCATTCGGCCAACATGGAACAGTCAAAGTATGCTTGTGAAAGTAATTTTGTGCCTCACTTGCAAGCTTCTGGAGGGCATGTAAGTCTGAAGTAGTGAGTTTAAGTATAGGTCCAGAGCCAGTGGTTGTTTTTCTGTAGGCAAACATCAGTGCCTTGAATTTGAAGCAAGCGGCAATTGGCAAACCAGTGCAAGTTTATGAAGAGAGGTGTGACGTGCGCTCTCTTCGGCTTGTTGCTGCAGCATTCTGAGGCCTGCCAAGAGAGCATTACAATAGTCTAGTCTGGAGAGAACAAGAGCTTGGACAGGGAGTCGTGTAGCCTGTTCTGATACGAAGAGCCTGATCTTCCTAATGTTATATAAGGCAAACTGAGTTGATTGACGAACCTTTCTGAATGGAGAAGTTGTGATGAAGTGTTGGGTTGGCTGAGACCACAAGCAGGTCTTCACAAGGTTGAGTTGAAGGTGGTGGTCTTTCACCCAGCAAGAAATGTCTCTCAGGCAGGGTGAGATGCAAGCAGCTAACGTCAGATCAGCTGGCTGGAATGAGTGTGTCATCAGCAATAGTTAACAGTCTTTTACAGTCTATTAGCATGGGAAAATGCATGTTTCTGAATGACAGGTCCTAGTGATGACATGTAGATGGAGAAGAGAAGTAGTCCAAGCACTGAGCCCTGGGGCACCCCAGATGTTGGGACTTAAGACACCTCAGAGGTTACCTATCTGAGAGGTAAGACTTGAACCATTGGAGTGTGGTTCCTGAGATGCCCTTTGTTATGAGGGTTGGCAGGGGGATCTGGTGGTTAACTGTGTCAAAAGCAGCAGACAGATCCAGCAAGATGAGTACTGAGGATTTGGAATCTGCTCTTGCCAGTCACCGAGCTTCATTAATTGAGGGTAGTCTCAGTCTAGTTGCTGCTTTTGAAACCAGACTGGTTGTTGTCCAGGAGGTTGTTCTGTGTAAGAAAGGTAGAGACTTGGTTGAACACGTAGGGCGATCTGTAGTTTTCTAAAAGTGCTGAATTTAGAGTGGGTTTCTTAAGCAGTATTATTCGAGCCTGCTTAAATGTTGTGGGAATGGTACCACTGTGAAGTGAGGTGTTAATGATGTAAGTGAGTGCAGGTACAACTGAAGAAGAAATGGCTTGAAGGAGATGAGTGAGGGTAGAATCAAGCAGACAGGATGTAGTGTGATTGTAAAGGATGAGTTTGGAGACTTCTGCCTCCGAGAGCGGAGAGAAGGAGAGGAGAATGTGTGAGTCTGCTATTAAGATGTGTGTGTCAGTTTGTGGTGTGGAAAATTGGCAGCTGATGGTTGTTGTTTTATTTATGAAGAATGAACACGTTATTATACTATATGTGCATTAAAAGCATGATGTATCACATGTGCCAGATAAATCAAGCGTAGCGCTAGTTCTGGCAGGTCACCTAAGTCAAGCTCGCATTAGCTGACTCTTAGTTGATCCACGTCTACCTAGGAATACGACGTTTATCACAGCAGCCCTGTTGCTCAGGAGCAAATTACCCTCCTCTATCCCCAGCTCCTCCTCTTGTCCAGTCAGGACTGGCCTTCTGATATTCCTCTTTGAATCAGACTCATTTTTCTTGAATCACGTTGTACATTAAATCATTGAAAATGAATATTATCTGCAATACTTTTATGTTGGTTCTGTTCTGTTTACCCTGAGGGGAGTTGTTGCTGCTCTTATCCATGCTAAGCTGCATGGATGGGCAGGGAGTTCTTGCCCAGAACAGAACCATACCGCCAATCCAAACTGTATGCTAATTGTCAATCATCTTTGACGATAGTGGTCCTAACAGAAATGTTGAATTTAAGGAGATGCATGATGCAGAGAAATCAGAGGCAATACTTTTAATAAACAAGGAGTTTTTACACGCAAGGAAATAAACGAGAACTGACAAAAGACTGAAAAGGACAGGGAGTGTAATGATAGACAGATTAACATAATCATTAACTAAGGAAACTAATAGGACACGCTAAAGATTAAACTGAAAGGGTAAACATGCAAAACAAGACATAGGAATAAAAACACAACTAACAAGACATAATCCTGATAATAAGATACTCAACAAAAACACATCATACAAAAACTTTTTTAAAATTAAAAAAATTGTCTTCAATAATCTGTTCCATATGAATAAAATAGATTTTCCTGACTATTTTTAAATGTCAGGTTTTACAGGGTTAAATTATATTAAATCATAATAAATTAACACATTTCAACACCAAAATACGTGTAGATGGGGGCTAAGAGTTAATGCACCATTGCTCTAACACTGGAGAATCATGTGTCTATCTCAACAGCCAGAGGCTGTATTTCCTTTATTCTCAGAGGAACAAAAGACAACAGCTTGACAGCTTGAGTCTGTCTCTCACATAAAGCTTTTGCACCCCTGACCTGGACCCTAATGCATCTGCACAGTACAAAATACATGGCATGCTGTCGATGTCAATGTGCATAATTTCCATGTGATTTATATTCTTGAATCTATGTCAGCCTCTGGTTTTAGGAAATAGTTCATTCGACTTTCAAACTTTTGAGTAAGGCAACAAATAGTCCCAAATATAAATATAATTTCACTTGGTGCTGATGCAAACCCAGTACAAAGCAAAAATGTACAATGAAATTGTTATGTATCACCTATGAAGTAACCAGACTCCCTTATAACCTGCAAGCTATCAATAAGCTCGTTTGAGATGCCAGACACGTTGGGTTGAGTCAACGTTGAATACAGTTGAGGAGAAGTTTAGGTAGAAGCATTCCAAATGACCTGTGTGGACCGGCAGTCTACAGTATGTAAGCAAATGCAAATGTTGTGTTCTTTATTGTTGATGTATGTAATATTGCTGCTCGGACTGAAACGGCTTCTCGAGCAAGAAAAAAAAAACTTGATTTCTTCTATCAAAAATTGGTGGATTGTTGGTATTTGCTATTGCTGTGATCTCATGTGACAGGTTGTATTTTGATTCAAGATTACAAAGGCAAATTAATGTTTTTTTTTTTTTTTTTTTTTTTTTTTAAAGGATGTGCATGGATAATTCCTTTGTAAATTGAAATTTTGATTTCATGCTGACTTTAAGTGTCTTTAACTACTATTTACTGACATTTAAATTAATTATTTGATACAATCCACTTGTGTATACATGTTTTTACATTGTGTACTTATATTTTAAAAAATGTGCATGTAATAACAATAGTAAATTTTTTGTAATTACATCTATAATTACACTGTTGACCTGACTCCTCCCCTTAACCCACCCATAACTATACCACCAAACCTGTTCCTAACCATACCCATATCCCACCTCAATAGCAGCAAAAGTGTTTTGCAACACAACATGAACACGAACAATAAGTACACTGTTAGGCTACCTAACATTTTTGTTATGTAAGTGCATAGTAATTAAAGACACCTAATATAAAGGATGACATGACCGTATTGCTCGTATACGTATTTTGTCAGTGATAAGAGATAATGACTTACTATATTAATAGCCAAGTTATTTTCCATTAGCTAAATGAACCTTTCAGAGAGAGAGAGAGAGAGAGAGCACAGTTCAGAGTGTGATGTGAACTTCAGTAGTAAGTGATGTGACTGCTAATGCAGGATTTACTATGTTATGTGGATAAGAAAGAGAGTGATGAATGGAAGCTTCTTACAGCATTTAATAATGCTGTGAATAAATGGCTGAGAAAAAAATAAAATAAAATAAGTAACTTAAAGATAAAACATGCTTGATTATGACAAGGACCCATTAACAGTCTATTTGATGCCTTTGTTCACAAGTCCTTTTTTTCCCTATAATAAACACAAACAAGGGTGCATTCGGGTAAACAGATATCAAATAAAAACTTTGTAAATCTCAGACATTTTTAAAGTCTTGATAGCCTTATTCAGAGATTATTACTGAGTCTTACCCATAGGTCTTACCTCAGTCAACAAAATCATAAAATAGAGTTTCTGATTAGTAAACACCTTCTTACTTAAATGCCATGCTTGGAGCGCCCTCTTTTGGCAAAGCATCATAACACATTACACAGCTGCAGAATCCTCGGCTTCAAAATTCACGTTTGATGAATAACTCCACAGAGACAGAAGAGACATCGATTCAGTGTCAGTTTACTCGAGACGATTCATTCAGAACGAATCATTCAGGCCAGTTTTGTGAAATGTCCAAATGAAGAGTTCATTAAAAAGATCCGACTCAAAACTACGATTCGTTCATCAAGTGAAGATAAACATCCGGTGCGCATGCGCAGACAGTCAGTGGGTCATTGGGCGCGCGGTACTGCAGGCATGCATGTGTCTCGTGGATTTTAGACTGAACGGTTCTCAGTAACATATTAGGTACGTGTTGTCATCCCGTTCTGATGGGTTAAAGTCTGTCGCGGTGTGCACAAATAACTTGCACTATAATATTTTCAGTCTCATAGATTATTATTAGACTCAACACGAAAGGATTTAAATTGACCGCAGTCAAAGCAACAGGCAAGTTTTACTCGAATCAGCTCCATGCATACTTGAACATTAGTAGGATTATATGCAAACAATATCAAGGGAGTACGAGATATTGTTACCCATTAACAAGCAGACTTGGTCGTCATTAGATGTGTATTAGAGCTGACATTGCCCTGTAAGACATTTGATTTGTGAATAAATGGAATTTACTCGGGTTGCACTTTATTTTACAGTTCGTGCACTTTCGTACTTACCCAAGAAAGTACTTGGTAATATAAGGTATAAAAGTAACTACATGGGTTAAGGTTAGGTTTAGGGGTTAGTACCAAGTTATTGTAATTAAGTATATAGGCAAGTATGTACATGGGGAACAGGACTGTAAAATAAAGTGCTATCACTCAGTGTGTTACTGCACGTTTAGTTTCATTAGTGCCGAGAACTCATGTCTGGAAACTCCTTTGACTGACACATTACTGTAACTGTTCATGCTGTCTTGTAGAGATTTAAGTTTGGTCTATTGTTTAATATTCATTGTTTTTATTAAAGACCAAAGAACAAGAAAATCACAGACTAATATATATACTACATTTAAATCTATTAACTATATATACTTTTCATTATAAAAATCAAACTAACAATTTTATTTACTTTGTGCTTCTTTACAGAATCACAATGTGCGTTCCAGTTAGGTAACACTTTTGACGTTGCTGGAACCTGGAAGTTGATCAAAGGTGAATGCTTACACACAAAAAAATGTCAGCTTGTAGCTGTTTAACACATTGCTGTATCATTATGAAAGTGTCCTCTCAGCTCCCAGTAATAGTTAACACGGCGCATGTCTTAGGATTTACTGGCTAGTGCAGTCACTTTGTTGTTACCAGTCTGTGAGCTCTGTTTAACTGCTAAGCCTTCAGCTTTTAACTTGGACATTAACATTCCTTCTACGTTTTTACATCCTTAAATGATTCAGCTTTACAGCATCAGTTGTATTGCTGTAACATGGTGGAAGTGAATCTATGCAATGAAAGGACAGAGGATGGTAAGGAGGAAATGAGGACTGATGGCAATGGACACACTGCGGAAAATGTGGCTCCCGAGTCAGTCATCTTTGAAACCAAGGAAGACCTGGAAGTCCAAACGCAGAAGACCAGTTCCTGGATATGGTCCGTTGTTTACCTTTGTTTCTATGGCTTCATGGTGCAGCTGAAGCCTGGAGAGCCCTTTATCACACCATACCTGCTCAGTACAGAGAAGAACTTCACCAGAGATCAGGTGTGGTGCTATTCTACTTTTATTCTAATCTTATATTCTAAGTGTATTCTAAATTTGTGAAAAAACACTTTAAAAATCTGAAATTGTTTGAGTGACTTTATTCAATCTGATAAAACATACTGTTTGTTTTCAATTTTGTAAACACTGAAACTTGAGAGACTGTTTACGTACTACAGTATGTATTTATTTTGTTGCCAATACTTAGTCGATACACAGTTATGATTGTGTAACTTGGTCTTAAAACTCTCTGACACAGCTGCTGGGTTCTGGCAAACCATGTGAATGTGGTCAGAGTTCACATTCCTCCAAAGTGGGTCAGATTTGCTTTGAGGAAGGACCTAGATCATGCCCACTAATTAGAGTTATTAATTAACCACATAAATGTCTTTTTTTGTAAACACTTCTAAATCCTGAATTCCAAAATGAATTTGCCTGAACTGTACTGAACTTATAAAGCTCTAACTGAATGTTTTTTAGTAAGGTCTGTGCCAATGATTTGACAAAAGCCATAAAATTAGTCATCCACATGCAGATAATATCTGTATGCAAATTCTCCACTGCAAAGTAGACCAAGTGCAATATTTTATCTGTTTATAGCACAGTGTCTATGTCATAAAATATATAATGTGAAACTAAAGAGAACTTGGGCTAATCAGAAGTGTCTTAATCTATTACATGTTCAAAATGTTTTACTAACTAAAAGGACACCCAAAACCTGTTACATACTTATGTGTCTGATTAGACAAAAAAGGGATTTTTTTTCAGTCTGCTTGCTAAGGTAAGGGATCATTCATTTGGTTTTTGATTATTTGTTCATAAAATATTTAGCCTGTCACTGTGAAGTTTTGCCACAACTGTAAATTATCAAATCAAATCAAATCCCTTTATTGTCACACAACCATATACACAAGTGCATCAGTGGGTGAAATTCTTAGGTGCAATTCCGAGCAACATAGCAGTCATGACACGATGGACGTATAACAATTACAGCAAACAATCGGATTTACATAGATTTACACATCTAATGTGCGCACAGTTACTCACAGTATCATATACACTAACAAAACAATAAATAATAATATAATATACAATGTACAATAAACGATATACAATATCCAAAAGAGGTATATATGCATACAATAGATACACGTAAGGTGGAAATATATATATATATATATATATGTAATATGCGGTAGGGTTATGTTGTGCTATGTTGACAGTTAGACTGTTTATGGTTATTAATCATGAGGGATCAAGAGTTTAGAAATCTAATTGCTTGTGGGAAGAAGCTGTCATGGAGTCGGCTGGTGTGTGTCATGGAGTCGGCTGGTGGTGTGCAGTCATTACCCTTGTCAATTAAATTTAAAACTTAAATGAGTCGAATACAATTAAACTTGAATGTTGTACACAAAGGCTGATTTTACATTTATTCTGTATTATTGTAATAGTGGTATGCAATAAATGTAACCATAATGAAAAAGCTCCATAAATGTGAATTATTTTAGATGAACATACTAATGTTATTCAATACAAAACGTGAACAAAATGTTATTCAATACAAAAAGTTATTCAAGCCCGCACTGAAGCGAGCTCAGCTGCAGACTTCTTCCTGGCAGTGAAAGTAGCACTACATTGTGAAACTGTTGACTTGTAGGAAGACTGCTAATGTTAAGGGTACCATTTTTACAGGGCCATACTATTATCTGTACATTCATAAAACTACACAGTATGTGAACACACAGCAAGTAAGAAAAAGTCTGATGAGGAAAATACTTATTTAGAAATATTTTAAACCTCAAAGAGACACTTTTTAAAGGTAAAAAAAAAGTTTTTAATGTTTTTAAAAATCTACGCCTTGTCCACATTTTAATATAACAATCAAATGTATTTTGGGATGCCATGTGCTCTCCATGTACACTATCCTCATCTCAGATGGCACATTCTCACTTTAACCCTGAGTCATTCTAAACCCTGGAAAAATGGAATCCTTGGCTATTTTGTTTCACACTGCTATTAATCATGCTAACAATTTATCATGGGTATAATTCATAATCTGATGTTTCACACTGTATACTCCTGGTGGTGGAGGTAAGTAAGTGCATTGTCTATTATGTTATTTCTGATGTTACATTTGAGTATTAAAATATCCTTGCTCTCCCTCTACCCCATATAAGATGTAACAATGACTTTCTGTGATCTTTTCAGGTTACCAATGAGATCACCCCAGTCCTCACATATTCCTATATGGCCGTGCTGGTGCCTGTGTTTCTGCTGACAGATTACCTACGCTACAAACCTGTGCTGATCCTTCAGAGCTTGAGTCATGTTTCCATTTGGCTCTTGCTACTTTTGGGCTACTCGTTGCTGGAGATGCAGTTTATGGAGTTCTTTTACGGCATCACCATGGCTGCCCGTGTGGCATACTCCTCCTACATATTCTCGCTAGTACCGGCGACTGTTTACCAGCGTGTAGCTAGCTACTCCCGGTCAGCTGTGCTCATGGGAGTCTTCACGAGCTCTGTGCTGGGTCAGATGTGTTTGTCCCTAGGGAATGTATCATACATGACGTTGAGCGTGGTCTCTCTAGTGTTTGTCATTTTTGGGCTACTTTTGTCCTTCTGCTTGCCATGGCCCAAACGTAGCATGTTTTTCAACCAAGCCCGCCTTGAGAAGGAGAGGAAGGAAGCAGCTCAATCGGAATTGGCCAGAATTAATCCAGAAAAGAAGGATGGCAGTGTGGCAGCACTGGGCAGTAACCACAATTCCCTCTCCTGGGCAAATTCGGTGTTTGTTCAGATGCTGAAGGAGTTAAAGAATGTTGTGAAGGTACCTAGTTTAAGGCTTTGGAGCTTGTGGTGGGTGTTCAACTCCACTGGTTACTATTTAGTTGTGTTTTATGTGCACATCTTGTGGAATAAAGTCTACCCTGCCATAGAAAACAAGCATGTCTACAATGGAGCGGTTGAGGCTGCCTCTACATTATTAGGTAAGACGGATTATGTCTTGTTGTAATTGCTATATTTGTTAAATTAAAACAACAAATAATCTCAACCACAGAATCAGTTTTTTTGTAAGTTGCTTCCACTCTGATTTCTTAAAGGGATAGTTCACCTAAAAATCCTGTCATCATTTATTCACCCTCAAGTTGTTCCAAACCTGTATGCATTTATTTCTTCTGATGAACACAAAAGAAGATATTGTAAAGAATGTTAGTAACCAAACAGTTGATTGGCCCCATTGACTTCCATAGGATGGAAAAACCAATACTATGAAAGTCAATGGGGTCCATCAATGGTTTGGTTGATCATTAAACATAATTTCAATTTTTGGGTGAACTATCCCTTTAAGGAAATTAATAAACATTTTGTTGGCAAGGGTACTGCCTACCAACTGTTTATTTATTTCAGTGTGGAAATAAATGTACTTACTTAAACACTTCTTACTTAAACCAGTGTTCAAAATTAAAGATGCATTATGTCAGTTATCAGCCTCCAAAACACTTTTTGATTTATTTTGTCATCATCTTACACACAATTATTGGGATAGCAATACGTTATGGCAAAGATAAAAAAAAAAAATCGGCATAAAATAAAAATTCACCCCATCTATTTCTTTATGAATTTTATTGATCTTATTGTGAACAATTCACCCATGCATGCATTTTGATCTGATCATTTTAAATCAAAATGTCATATGATGTTATGCCGTACTTCTCCAATCATTTAGTCTGTTTAAACCCCAGCCCTTTCTTACATTTGATTGCAAGCAAGTTTGCATTTAGATCTGCCTTCATCCAATTAACCGATGTATAGAATCAAGTCCCCATCCTACATGTTTTTCTTTTTTGGTAATTTGGTAAAACTGGGATACACGTCACAATATGGAATCAAAGATTCTGTTTCATCTCCACTTTAGCACTTATGCGTGCAAGTCATTGTGAGTTGCTGTGTGAGTGTAATGATAATAGGTCTGCATTTATGTGTAGTTGTACAACATGAGTTATGTTGATTTCTTAAAAGTACATCAAACTATGTATTTTCAATTGCATCGGGCTATAATTAAACCACTTTAGCTGACAAACTATACAGTTTTAGATTTTTGTTTGTTGTAATTCTCTTTTTTTTTAAACAAAATACTATGGATTTATAATAACAGCCATTTATTGGTTAGCGACCAATGAATCGGCCAATACTTATCTGCTTGCTTATACTAGCAATAATGGGTCAGCAGAGTTCCCAACGCAAGTCATTGTGACCTAAAGTTCTTTTTTTTTTACTAGGATATTGATGTTTGATCTTCTCCGCATGAATCAAAATCCTAATTGAGGTTTACATGATACATTACTATGATACTATTTGGCGAGAACAAGCTAAGTTCATGTTCCTCAACCTTTGAGCTTGGGCATGACACGTGCTTGGCAAACACAAAAACAACAACAACAACAACATGTAAACCAGGATTCCTTATACCTAGTGCTGGAAAGCCACTTCCCTGCTGAGATTTTAGTTGATTCAGGTGCATTGAATCAGAGTTGGAGCTAGCCTATACTCTGCAGGAAAGCATCTCTCTATGACAAGGAATAAAGAACCCATGGTGTAAATGACACAAGAAGAAAAATATTTGCAAACGGTTTTTCAGATTTTCATGCACAAATTTAGACTTGGAGAATAGACGTTTGTTAATCAGCATGATAATTACATGACAATCGCACTTCATGTGCTCCATAGGTGCAATCGCGTCATTTGCAGCAGGCTATGTGAAAATTCGATGGAATCTGTGGTCTGAACTGGTGATTGGATTGATTACTGCGGCACAGGCCGGTCTACTGCTTCTCATGGGCATCACAGAAAATATCTGGGTTTGCTATGTGTCATATGCCCTTTTCAGAGGCTTCTACCAGTTCCTTGTGCCTATTGCCATGTGAGTGATATAAAGCTCTTTGTTTAATTTTATTTTTAAATGTATGTAAAAGATTTTTTCATGTGTGTTTTTTTGTTGTTGTTAAAAACCCATATTGAACAACGATGGCGCATATTGCATAAATGTTTTGAAGTGACCGAGGAGGAGATGAGTTGTATGCACCTGTAAAAACATTTATTTCACAGAGAGCAAGAATTTGAAGTTTGTTGTAGTTTGAAACATGTGGAGCTTTTGATGAAGCTAAAAGAAAAACACTAAGGAAATTAAACAATTTAAAGAAAAATAAACTTTTTTTTTTTTTTTACAATTATCCAGATGTCTGTTCTCTGCATTTTGTCCATAAATAATTCATTTTGTGTTTTTCCTTTCAGTTTCCAGATTGCCTCCTCTCTCACTAAAGAATTGTGTGCTTTAGTGTTTGGAGTAAACACTTTTCTTGGAACAATTCTGAAGACGGTCATCACTATAATTGTGGTTGATAAGAGTGGATTGGGTTTGGATGTTCATTCTCAGGTGTGTAAAATTCTAAGTTGACTTCTGTTAATAGTTACACACAGATAAACAGGATCAATACTACATACTTGGGTCACCTTTTCAAAACTCTTCACACAGTTCGCTTTACTAACTTTCAGCTTGGCACATCAGTTGATTTCACAATCAAAATGCTCTAAAACTACCAAAACACTTCATACATATCTCAAATCAACTCATTCTTCCATAACACTAGCAAAGGTTATCACCCAACAAACACACTTTGTCATAAACAATAAACAATGACTTTTAAACATGTAGCATTACACAATGATTTCTTTTGTAAAATATTTTCACAAAACAATAATGAAACCTCCCTACGGTTCAAAATACACTGCAGTAATATGTTACATGGTCATTGTTTACATTACAGTTCAAAATTATTATTAAGTTTCCCCTTTTGTATAGAGGGTAATGAAATTGAAAGACAAACACCTGTGTAGGGGTACAGCTATTTTAAACTTATGTTTAAAGGTTTAGTTTACCCAAAAATGAACATTCTGTCAATATTTACTCTCCTGCATGTCGTTCCAAAACCGTATGACTTTCATTCATCTTTGGGTTGAGAGCTTTTTTTGACGCTTCAAAAACTTCACAAAGATTGTAAAACTTTATATGATGAACAGATTGAATTTATTATTTTATTCACATATAAACATTGATCAAGAGTTTTGAAAAAGTGACCCAAGTATTGAGAAATGGGTCCTAGCGTTTAAAAAAAAAAAAGAAGAAGAAGAAATTACAGTAACATAATGCAGAATGATTTTGGCCTGATTCTGTTTCTCTCTTTCTCTTGCAGTTTTTTGTTTATTTCTTTTACTTCACTCTGTTGACTGTGATTTATCTGGGATGTAGTGCCTTTGTCATCACGTGTCATTACCGCAATCAAAGATCAGGACAGGAGGCTACGGAAGTATCCATAGCCACTGAACTTAGTCCCATGGCATCAGCTGCCAGTGACGGTACAACCGCACATAATGGAGCCAGCATCAAGACATGAGATTCAAAGGAATTGTGCCTACAGGTAGAGTTTCTCCATCTTTTTAACTGTTACTTCAAAAGCAGAACATTTTATTATTTTAAGTATGAATAGTCCTGGTTTCATCATTTTATAAACATAACATTTATAGTCCAATTGTTAGGAATAGCAATAGATTTTTTTTTTTTTTAAAACCTCATCAAAATCTAATTGTACATTTTCGGATCGAGATATTGTCAGATCTGGATGTCTTTTGTTGTTTGTCATGTTATAAAGTTATCTTTGTCAGGGTTAATAAAATAGTTTTATAAGGAATGTTTGGAAGCCAAACATGGCAAGGATTACTCTATAACTTCAGAGTACAGTGATGCCAGTGTTATTTGCAGCTAAATATTAAAGTATAAATAATTACTATTGCACAACAGTTGTAATTCTGTTAATTGATTGGCCAAGCGGTGTTCCAGGCTGATATTTAGTGTATGTCCTTAGAATATGTGATCGGTATCCATTGGAAGCTCACTGGGGGAGTTAGAGGTGTGGGATTTTTGCCTCCAGTCTTTTCTTTCGCTCCAGGATTGCTCAGAAATGGGTTCTGCTCACCCAGTATGCAGGAGTGGGAAATGGATAATCTGTAGTGGAGCAAACGTGGAGTGATAACTGAATGTTCCAAACAGGGAGGGAAAATTGCTGTACACTGTTGCTCAATTCTGTGCAATGCTTGGTGACATGCATAGTTTGATGCTTTAGTTCTTTTGGAAATATTTTTATTGACAAAGGAAAAATTATGCTAAGTAACTGGCCATGTTTTTCAATGTGAACATCTTTAGAACCTGTATAAAAGAAATTTCGGTAAGACTTTTTCACTAGTTAACTAATTTAGTTAATGAACTAAGAATGTCCAATACGTCTACAGCATTTATTAATCTTAATTAATGTTAATTTCAACAATTACGGTACTAATACATTATTAAAATCAAAAGCTGTATTTGTGAACATTTGTTAATGCACTGTGAACTAACATGAGCAAATAATGAACAGCTGGATTTTCATGAACTAATATTAACAAAAATCTATTACCGTAATTCTGAAACAAATGCTCATTGTTAGTTCATGTTAGTTTATACATTAACTAATGTTAACAAATGAGACTGTAAAGTGTTACCGAAATTTCACACAAACAAGATTGTATTGTGCAGGAAACTTGCTTAGTTCTACTGTATTTTAAAATAAATACTACTGTTTTTTTATATTATTGTGTGATCACATTATAGGATCTCCAGACCATGTATAATTACCAATAAAATGTTATTAAATTAAAAGTTTTAAGTATTTTTTTTTATTTGTATTACAATTTTAAATCCCATATTGCTTAAAAGAAGCTTTAGAGAAAAATATGCCTTAATATTCAACAACAGCAGCAAATTAAAGGTGCTATATGTATTTTTTAGCGGCCGCTATCGGTGATGTTTCAGATTGCAACCAATTTTTACAAGTGCTCGAACACAAGAGCGAGCACTCATGGTACCGGTGTTGTGCCGAATTTTGTAATAATTTGGCAGGGGGTCGAAATTCGGCACAACACACAACATGCTGGAAACTCATGTAATCTCCCACTGCAACGTTACAATAATAGGCTACTTTTATCAGCTTGACGTTGAACTAATGCTCCATGCTCGTACCATGATAACGTTACATTGACTGCGTTTACCCGACATGTGGTGTTATCTAGCATAAGGCATTTCACTAACTATTCGTGTATCTTTCACATTCAGCAATGTCAACATAGGTGAATGTATAATATGATAACGAAAACGGTTAGTGAACTAGACTGAACAATTTCAGTGTAACAGTAAGATCGTAGGAAGTAACATTACTGTACTGAACGTGTCTGGAAATGTGTATTATAAACAATATGATAGTAGTGGGATGAGTGACGTTAGACAGTAGATCTAGTACATAAAATAAAAGTTACATCCTAAAGCACCTACTTTTTGTTATACTGGAACAGTCTTTTGTATTCATTTCATGTCTCATATATGTTGTAGTTTACCTTGCTATTTCATTACAGTTTACCATTATTTATTTCAGCATATCTGAAAACTTGTAATTTATCACAATAAAAATAGCGGAGGTCTCTCCATAATTCAAACGCTCTGCCGATGTTGATCCGTGTTTTCGTCCTAAATCGATCCGATTCACGTTTGGCCTGACGAGCTTCAGCAGTTACATTTTTATTTTGTTTTTTATATTTATGTGGAGTTTGTTTTGGAGTCTGTGTTGTGCTGGAGGCAGGAGTTTTGGGTGTTATCAGACTCTTGTCGTCAGCTGCAGTGCCGTCGCATAGACTGTATATAAAAAGGAGAGAGGCTCGGGAGCGCACATGCACGTCACATCCGATGGATTTCGCAGAAAATCCGACCCGGAGACTTCACATAGAAATAGGAATACTGGCCTTCAGAGGTAATAGCAAAACCTGACAAGTGGATCATTGTAATGTGTGATTACAACCCCTTCACACACAGGCAATAAAAAAAGGATTAATTTTAGAAGAAAAGTTACATATAGCACCTTTAAGGTGACTATGGCAAGGACAAAAACTTCATGTCTACTGTATGTAATAAAGGGAAGAAATTTTGAGAGAAACCAGATTTAAAACACAAAAGACCAAATATTATATAGGCACTGCATGTGTAATAGAAGTCATGTGTTAATAATAAACTAAGTAATTGAACATGTTACTTAGACAATGTTTAAATAAAAAGGATAATGATTAGCTTGTAGGTTTTGTTCTGTCTGGTTCCATCTCTTGACAGGAGTAATAGAGGTAGTTTTAAATGAAATGCCAATTGCTGTCTGGTAAAGCTGAAGCTGATTGATGTCAGAACATGTATCCCAAGGTGGAAACAAGGAAAACAAATGACAGACAGCTAGTGTTTGTATAAATGATCTTTATTTTTATAGTTGCAGAAGTATCTATCCAAACAATTGGTTGCAATTTGGGCAGACATGACTGGAATGGTGCATAACTATATCTCTCATAAAGTTTGAGATATAAATTAGGTGTATGCCTGGTTGAAGTGAGGGGTCTAGACACAAGTATGTCTGAGCCCCAAACATTGTCATTGTAGCGATGATAAAATCAGTCTGATACAATCATATTTCTGGATCTGGCATTTTAAATCATCTGATTGAGACCGCTGCAAGCTACATCTCTTTGACTGTCTTTATTTACTCTTTATACAACAGCACTGTGATGTTTTACTGTTTATATAACTGTTATGGTTGTCTCTGTTTACAAATAGAAACATCATAAATGCATAAATGGGATCTTTTAGGAATGCTTTCTACCATTACATAATTATGGCACCAAGTGCCTTTTTGTGTTATAAGCTAGTCATTGAATCATTCACGAAAAAACACAGATCCATTCAGTTACAAAACCACACTACTGTGTGTTGCTTGGAGACACAATGGTGGCTCATGCTTTGGCTTTTTACAGGTGGAGCTAATTAGACGAGTAACTGGCAATATTGTTACATATACACTATTGTTCGAATGATAGGGATCGGTATGACCAGTAACCAATAACAATAATGACTTTATTTTCCAAATAAAAATGACAGAATTTTTAAGAGTGAAACAACCAGTGACATGTAAAACATAGGTTGTATTTATTTATTAAGGTAAGTGCCATTTGAAAATGCAGTAAATAAAAGTAAAAATGGCTTTTTTTTAGTGGTCACATTTGAACTTTAGAGTACAGCAGGCGGTGGTAGAATAGAGAGACTGCAATGGGCTAAAACTCTTTAAAATTGTGTTCAAGTTATGTGTAAAAAATAAAATAAATATTAATAAAAAACTAACAATGATTTACCTATTTTTATGAAGTCATCTTTCTTTAGAGAAAGTCAACTAGTCTTTTTGCATTACAATCATGGAATGTGTGATGTGATTGATTTGCAAAGTATAAAAATGTAGAAAGGTTACATAGATATGTTTATATAAAATCATTTAAATAGTAATGTGAATGAAAATGGTAATGACAACAAAGTAGTTTAAAAATAATTAGCTATTCAAATTTTGGTGTTTTGGCAAGACATTGTGAATGCACTACAAAACATCCATTTTAAAACCAGATGTATTTTAAAAGTTGTTTTTGACTTTGTGTGTTCTATATTACCCTGTTATGTGCGAAAATACAACAACGTACATTTTTATATAAAAAAAATATAAAACAGTGAATTTAGTCAAATTTTCTAAATTGCATATTTTCTGCAATGATAAAATGTTTGTTGTAAAGCTTATGGTGTAAGGAGGAACAATGTATATTTTTGATATACTGATGACAGTCACACAGCAGTTAATACATACAAAATAAATTGTCAGAATTTTAAAATGCATGTAGATGAACATACATACAGTTTGTGGTGTGACTCAAGGCAAATTTTGGTCTTGCACACGTTTTTGGTTTACTCAGCAATGTAGCTGTTCTCAATGCACAGTACGATAAAAGAGCTGGCGCAGCCACGTGGCAACTGCTGAAGTAGGTAGCCATCTTGGAGAGAGGAAGCCATGCCAGTGACGGCATGACTACCAGTTCGCCAGGTTTCACAGTAGCTGTCTGTTTGCCTGTTTCCACCAGTGCTTGATCCATGCCATACCATCTTCTCTGGCCTATTAAAGTGGTTATGGAGAAAATAAATGCCATGCTAATCATTTCTGTTAAGGTTCTAGTTGTTAAGGAATATGTCTTAGACCCTCTTACCAGGCATCATCATTGAGAACATCTCGACCATCAAATGAGTAGATGCGCACATCATCATTCAATCTGCCCTCTGAGTCACTAAAGATAGACTCCCAGTTGCTGAATAATTCCTCATCCTGTGGTGAAGATATTAAACAGCTTTATAAAAGACTGTAGTATTCACTGTAAAAAAAAAGCTTTAGCGACAAATGAAGTATCTTACTTTAAGATTTACTATAGGAAACAGATCCCTGTCATTCTTTCGAACAATACTGTGTAGGTCCTGTAACCGGGATGACAGAAAAGCCCTGAATGTTCCTTTGAGCCCAATTGCTTGTGCCTGTAAGAAGCACTGGTGGTCTACACCTCTAATATCCCGCATGTCGCCCCGTTGGGGTGAGTTGAGAGCAATCAGGTGCAGCTAGGGTGACAAAACATATAGTTATTATAAGATAACTTGACAATAAGTTTATATTACAAACAATAAAGATTATATAAAAGGACATCTATTGTTAACAAATTCCCAATTATGCATCAATGCTACAAATTTCTGTCATTATCATTTGTTAACAATCAAGTAGTCATTACTTCAATGAGCTCATTGTTTCTGCCTTAAATTAATACATTTTTAGCTAACCTTGATTTGTATATGTACATTTTTGAAATGCATAACTGACATTTACCTCTGATAACAGATCACTCTAAATTGTAATGTGGACTCATGCATTTTCTGTAAAGCTGCTTTGAAACGATGTGTATTGTGAAAAGCACTATACAAATAAATGTGAATTGAATTTAATTATTTTTGTTTGTTTATTTGTTTGTTTGTGTAAAATACATGAATGAATGTCACTTTTTTTATTATTATTATTATTTTTTTACTGTTTTACATTGAACTGACCTGAGCTAAATAATGACAATATTATCTTCGGTAGAGCTGCTTTTTAGTTGAATTGAACTAAACTGAATCAACATCGAACTAAATTGAGCTTAATAATGACACTCATGTTTTTTTTAAAGCTGCTTTACAGCTGAAATTGTATTCATTTCATAATCAAAGAACTTTGCAACATTAATACTATTATTTTCTTGTTTATTACTCAGCTGCTTTGAAACGTTCTGTGTGACAATTAATATTAGTTGAAGACTGAAACAAATCATTTGAAAAAAAAGGTTGCTACAAATAGTTCTGATCCATCACTTTAACCGGTCATGCTCTATCTTTTTTATCCCACCATTCAAAAGTTTGGTGTTGGTGGTGATTACAAAGTCTCTTGATCAAAATACAAAAAAAAAAAAAAAAAAAAAAACATTGTGAAATATTATTACAATTTAAAAGATATAGGCATAATAATATGCCTATATCTATACTATTTTCTATGTCAATATATTTGTCAGTTAAACTTTATTTTAAGGTGACGTAGTTAAATTGTACTTACTCAAATAAGTGAGTAATATTAATTAACTACATGCACTTACTATAGTGGTTAGGTTTTGGTTTAGGGTTAGTTACTTGTAATTATGCGTAATATATTGGTTTTATTATAGTAAGTATAGTAACATGTAACTAAGTGTTACATATAAAAACAAAACAAAAACGATTTATTCCTGTGATGGAAAAGGTAAATTTTAAGCAGTCATTACTCAATAATTTAATATTTAAAGGGGTGGTATAATGCCTCTTTTTACAATATGTAAAATAAGTCTCTGTTGTCCCCACAGTGTGTATGTGAAGTTTTAGCTCAAAATACCCCACAGATATTTTTTTACAGCATGTTAAAATTGTCCCTTTTTGAGGGTCAGTAAAAAACGCGTAGTTTCGTGTGTGTCCCTTTAAATGCAAATGAGCTGCTGCTCCCGGCACAGAGGGCGGAGCTTCAAGAGCTCATGTGTGTTAGCAGCTCTGATTACCTCACGCAGATAAGCACTAAAATGTCAGAAACTGTTCTGCCTTTTATGTTTAAACTGGAGTCGGACAATGATGGAGAGACTCAAGAAGAAGTGACAACATGTAGAATGCAACAGGACGTTTCTGAATGGTTAGTTGATGAATTTGATGCTGATGTGGAGTTAACTATCTTCAAGTCTTCGATTAGCATATTCTGTCATGATAATCTATAAAATCGCTCATGTGGGAACTGTTGTAAGATGCATACAGAGTGACATGCTATTGCATTTGTGTTACGTACTGTATTGCATGTGAAAAGAAGACGGATGCGACAACTTGAGGAGACTCACAAATGTGCTCTACTACAACAACTCTTTCTCTTCTCAACATGGACTGCATGTTCCCAGGGCGTGGTTTATGTAAATTTTAGGGTTAGGGATGTCACTAACCCGGGAGGAATGTGTGTAGTCCCTACCAGCCATTTGTTGTAGTCAGGGGCGGAGTGGCAATCGGAAGAGTCGGGAGTTTCCCCGGTGGGCCGGTAGTGTTTCGAGGCCCGCGAGGGCCGGTCTGATAATAGTTATACCATGTTAAGTGTTATAGCCAGGCACGGATTAACGCACGGGCCTACTGGGCACTTGCCCAGGGCACTGGGCCAGCAGGGGGCCCTGTAAAATGTACTGTGTCTATTCTTTTCAAATAATTATTTTTATTTTATTTTTATTTTCAGTAAAATTGTGTTAAATATTGAGGAATAATGTGATTTTTTTTTGCAGTTGCAAAGTATTAACTACTAAATAAATCAAATAAATAATGTTAATGTATTGCTGCGCTGTTGAGAAGGACATCTAGAGGCGAGTGAAAAGCATTGCGTAATATAAAAGTCACGCAGAAGACGGTTACTCAAAAACCAAAACAAAAATGAGTTTAAAACCACAACCAAGGCAGAACATAGGCTAAGTTGTTTATGTTTTACAATAGTAGCCTATGGGCTTATTTTTTTAACGAAATGTCAATCTTCATCTTTATAACAGAAGATATAATACAATACAACAATCTTCAAGATACAGTAAATCTTCAAATGTGTAACGGATTGTCACCTTAAAAAGTGTCTTTTGTGGTGGAACAAGCAATGCTATATAGCATCTTAATTTAATCTTTGTTTTATTATTTTAGTTCATTAACTAATTGTTAACTCAACTAATTTAACGTAAAGACCTGGATACTAGAATTAGGCTACTAAATAAAACTGAATAAATGTCAACTAGCCTAAATGCATTGATTAGAATTGCCATTGACTAAAGATTTTCTAGTCGACGACTAGTAGTCATTCCTTTAAGCAATTAGTCGACTAATCTCAAGTTAATATTAATTTCTGCTTAAATACTGAGTGGAGGCATATAGCCTATTCCACGCTCAAGCAAGCGCATGCATAAATATTGCCTCAAAGCACCGGCAAAAGCAGGCTAATGATAATATATGTCTGGAAAAAAACTAGGCATTTTTATTGTTTAATAATAATAATAAATAAATAAATTAAATCAGTGTCGGCTCGGCTGCAATCATATCTATATCTCCGCTGTAAAGTGGATGCGCCTTTAGAGAGAAATGCACCTTTCATATCATATCAGCCTAATCAGCCGGTATTTGCTTTCGATTCGAATTTTTTCGTTTAAAAGTGGACTTTTCTTTCAATCACGCAGCACAAACAGAATGCCTATATCGCTTCTGTGAAATCATAATCAACCACCCCTTTAACCTTTAATATAACCTATAAACATAATTTAACCTCGCTGAATAAAAGTACTAATTTCTTTCAAAAAATATTACTGACTTTTTGGTAGTGTACCTCAGTAAAATAATGTAAGGATTAGTATTTTAATAAAGAATTTCTGTGGGATTGTGTTATGGATTCTTGGCTTTTCCCTTGTGAAAAAGACCACAGACCTTGTGATCTGGTATCGCATATTTGATCTGATATCCCAATATCCAATAAATTATTCACTAAATAACACTAGGAATATTCAGTTAGCGCAACACATATTTACTGTATGTTGCATTTGTACTTCAATTAAAATTACACTATGGACTTACTTGTGGTCTTCCCATTTATGTAGCATACAATAGTATCTGTTAAAATTGGTAAAAATGCTGCTAAATTGTCAACTTTTTTACCTTGAGGCAAGAGTAGAATAATGTCACCTTGTTTTACTCTATTTTATAAATACATTTTGTGAATGCTTGTTAAGCAAGCCTTTCAGCAATCCATTAGCAACTCATGATTGTTTACAGTTTGATGGAGATTACTTCCTAGTATAATTTGTTGGACATTCCTCATGGTGCATAGGCAAAAATAAATAGACAAGCAAACAATTATTCCTCATAAAAATGATGAGGTGCTTACTGTATGGCCTGCTGTGTGTGTGTGAGCTGGAAGCTTGGCTTCTTCAATGACAGGCCTGAGGTGATGCGTACGTTCATATCTTCTGTCAGGATAGCCAGACTGATCCGGGTGGCTGCCGTGAATGTGCTTTCTGGAATCAGGATAGTGCTGGTAAATTGGGTCGACTGATGGCGAGTACCGTGGATCTGAAAAGGAGTGTGGATCTGTATGTCTGTGGTATGGGTCATATGATGGCTGGTATCTGGGATCATGTGGCACAGGATACAGGGCTTCTGGTTGTGGAGGGGCTCTTGGGCGAGAGGTAGTGGGGTAGTCCTGAGAGTAGTGAACCACTTGTGGAGGCTCCACTGCTTCCATCTGTTTATCCTAGAAACCAACCGTGCAAGGAGAAAAATGCGGTCACATTTACCATTGCCCAAAATGTACAGTCACCTTTACCGTTACCTGGCAAAATTGTGTGGGTGAAATCCATTAATTTCAACTGGAATCCACATGATCAGAAGCATCAGGGTGGAAAAGTTTCCCATGCAGATTTCGAAGTTGGTCAAAAATGTGCCATGCCGACTACCAGAAAGCTGCTTAGTTTGAAAGTGAATTCTGTGAGTTGTGTTTCATGCATCGTAACACTTTCATCACCTCAACCAATCTTTCAGTGACTGCATAGTGTGCCAACTACACCAATTTGCACCATTAACTTGAGCAGTAGATAGCTCTGGAAGAATCACATCCAGAAATGTAAGGATCCAATGTGAAACAGAAGTGAATTACCGGGTTTACTTTCCATCTCAATACAATCATCTTTTTAGCAGCTGTAAGAGCCATTAGTACAAATGATTAATATTCTAGCTTGTTTAATAACAAGACACGCAGTTACAGGCATGCAGAAATCAAATCAGACAATCTGAAGCTACCAAAGTTCAAAACTGCATCAATGAACCATTGACAAATTTACCTTTTTTGCCCTTGAAATGTAGATGTGTGAAATGTTACAGTACTTGTTAGTCAAATGCTTATGGGCAAAGGAAGTTAAGGTTTATTAATTACTTAATTCTGGTACTTACCAGACCCCGGTGGAAAGGGGTATATTCTCCAAGCTGAAATGAAACAACCAGAAACATCAGAAATGTTTAGGTTCTCAGCAAATAGATTCTTGGAAAATTACAAAAAGGATACATGTCAAGTAATAATCTCAAGGCTAATGCAGCTAATGGCACTAACAAATTAAATACTAATTTAATCAAATTAGTAGCTTAATAGCTTTGCCTGTTGGTTTGAAAATGCCCACTGAATGGGAAATGCACACTCAATCTGCAGAGATTAATACTTCTATTAAATCTATTTGAAAGGCCCTTTATACTTTATTTTCTGCATTTTTCGCCGTCTAGCTCACATTTGAGTGCATAAGTCTTTCAAAGTATGCTGCTTTGACATTGAGGGTGGATGGTCGTGTTTATCACATACATTTTTTGGAACATGGACAAGTGAAGTATACTTTGGGGTAAGTAAGTTTGTACTCTTCTTACATGAAGATGGAGAGAGAGAAAAAAAGCCTAGACGATTACCAGGACTTTTCTGACACCATCCTCTTCTCTCATAAAAAGTTCTTTCTTGTCTGTTACATAGATTAGCGTGCCTTCTGGATGCTGAATAGTTGATGCAGCCATGGCGTCAAAAGACCTCAAAACCATAACCTGAGGAAATGAAAACAAACCAACAAACTAGAAAAGAGGAATTATCTTATAGAAAATAAGTTGATCAGTGTGCCCACTGACAGCAAGCAGTGTTTCTGTAGTGAAAACTCACCCGAGATAAATATCCAGGGACTCCAGGAGGTCCAGGTGGTCCAGGTGGCCCAGGAATAGTGATTGCTAAAGGATCAAGTTGTTAAAATGAAAAAGTTGTTTTTATTTATTTATGAGCTTTTGCATTTAATGGACAGGACAGCAAGAGAGAAGACCGGAAAAAGGGAGAGAAATGAGATCAGGACATGAAGCAGGTCAGATTCAAATCTGCATCCCTGGGAACCCAAAACATATTTTATGTGTTGAATGGCAGTGTGGATTCCTTACTTTGTGAGGGTCTGTATGCTCCTGGCAGCAATGATCCCGGTGGTCCAGGTGGACCTGGTGGGCCAGGACTACCTGGGCGACCCTCATAACCAATTCCTGGGGCTCCAGAAGGCCCAGAGGGACCTGGAGGTCCACTAATAGATTCACCTCTAGGACCCTAAAGTGAAATTAACATTTAGTCAAGTAAGCCACTTTAGATGATAAGAAAAAACAAAGGTAAACTCTGAGAGGAATCATTTCATGTCTGTGCTATGTCACCGGTGGTCCAGGTCTTCCAGGTGGACCTTGTAATCCACCATGACGAGGGTCGTAGAAACCTCCTCCTGGTTCTCCCTTCTCCCCTTTAGGACCATGCTCACCTTTCATCTCATGCTACAGCATAACATATTACATAATACAGTACATTTTCCATGTGCTGCACATTTTCAGCAAAACATTACTACATGTAAACATAAAACTTGTGTAAAGGTTGGAAACATCATACCTTAAATGTATAAATGTCAAAGGTGGTAGTGAGACCTACGGCAGATAACAATGACGTCACGTTCACATTTCACAGTAAAAAAAAAGGATAATATTCACTTTTCTGAATATCCTATAAAAAGGCTTGTTGCTTCAGTAAATCATACCTGGCAAGCCAGGGATGCCAGATGCTCCTCTTTCACCCTTGTCCCCTTTGATAGCTGAGGTAATGAAATTTGAGATATATTTATATCTATTCAGTTAGCAGCTGTTCCAAAAGCAACTTACACATTCTTCAGAAGACTCACATTCCTTTGGAATAAGAGCACACTGATTCATCACAAACAAATATTCTTAAATACATATTTATGTTATACTAAACTGGAATGTGATATGGATTGGAAAATGACAAATCAGATTCATTCTCAACTTACCAAAGGGAAACCTTGAGCTGCCATCATCATAACCCTTAAAGTAGATCACATAAAAACTGTGAGCCAGTACACATGCTATTTTTATAGCAAACAAACCTACAAGATTATTATTTTTTTAATTTGATTTTTTTTACAAGATATTCGTTACTCACATTAAATCTTTCCACAGAAGCTGGAGTTCCAGGAGGACCGGGTGGCCCAGGTGGACCAGGGGGTCCCTAAAATCAGTTTGAAATCTATAGTATATTGTATATGTACTTCTATAGTGACAATTAAAACCAAATACATAGTATTTTTTTTTACCTGATAGCCATTACCATATCCTCCACCTGAATCACCTTTTGCCCCCTTTTTTCCATTTAGACCAGGTCGACCCTTTTTGATTTAAGAATATTGTGAAATCAAGAATATACCAAATTATTAGAATGATCAAACTCAATAAGAAATATTATAAAAATGCATTTAAAATATAGTTGCAGGCAACAATTAAAGTTTATTAGACCAATGGGCCCATAGTTAGAGCCATTTTTATGTTTGTCTTTTATGGTGCTTATATTTGCACATGTACACAAAAAATAGGTCACTGTGTTATAGGCAATTTAAGTTACTTACTTAAAAGTGGCCTTGCCCATTACTTTTTTTTTTTTTCTGGCCATGACCATGCTGAATTACAGTTAAACATGATAACTATTCATAATGGGACTGCATATCATTTTATATACTAGTTTCATTCAGAGTGAACAAACAGCTGGAAGTGTTTTTGTGTTAGTAATGAGAGAGATTTGGGACCATTCTACAAAGTTTGAAGTTTCTTTTATTTACATTCTCTGATTATTAAACCATTATGTGTTGACTTTCTAGCAGCTACCTGTTTCAACTACCGTTTACACTACCGTGTATCACTTTTCAGACTTTTTATCTGTGACAATGATCATCATATTTTCAATAATACTTTTTGAGAATCGCTTACTCTCACTTACAACAAAACCAACTAACATTTAAATCTCTTAATATAATAATACAGACCAATATTTAAATTGCTAAATTGCCTTTGAACACTCATACATGTGCCCGAGTCACTGCGGCACTGATATGTACTGTATGTTAAACAACACTATGAATAGAATATAGCTAGATCTTAATCCAGAGGAGCACTCGTATCATCAATATATATCGTTATGTTGCCCAGACCTAAGCAAATAACAGTATGTAATGTAAAGCTGCTTTGAAACAATGTGTATTCTGGAAAGCACTTTTTTCAAATTTGACTTGAATTTTATGCCGGTTGAAATATAAAAAAAGCATGAGATTAATAATTTATTATATTGAATGATAATTAACTTTTAATAAAAATTGTACAATAATAGGTAACACTATTTTATATATACATGTTACATGTAATTACTATAGTAATAACTCTAAATTATGCATAATTACTTGCAACTAACCCTAAATCATTCCCTAATCCTAACCCTATAGTAAGTTTGTGTAGGTAATTAATATTGCTCTTTCAAAAATGCTTTTCAGAAAATGTAAAATTGCAGAAAATTTTGTTGATTTTGATTCAGCATGAGAGATACTCACGGATCTGCCTGGTAATCCAATTTCACCTTTTGGTCCAGGTGGCCCCACTGGTCCCTAATGAGTGAAAATATATCAGCATATCTATAACAATCATCATCAATATATTTCTCAATAGGGCCATTGTGCAGGTAAAACAAATCCTCAGCAAGACTCACCATAGGTCCCTCTGGTCCTGGAAGTCCTGGCTCGGCCTAAACCAGAGAGTAACTACATTAATTGTCTAACAATGCTATGGATGTTTAGTAGTTCTGTTCTAAATAAATCCATCTGAATGACAGCCGCAGGTTTCTCACCAGCTGTCCAGCAGGCCCTCCCATATAAATGGGGCTACCACTGGAGTCATAGATTAGACCAGGTTCACCCTTCTGACCCTAAAAAAAAGAACAAAATGTAATGTCGGAGGATAAAAAAAATGCTAAAGATAGCATCTTCTAAACATTACTAAAACCAGGGCCGGATTGCTGTCCTGGGTTTTTAAAATCTTTCTAACTCTCTAACACAACAGCAGAATCCACAGCAGTACAGTATAATTATAACTACACAGAGGAACAATATTGTTTTTTTTTTTTCATTTACATTCAATAACCTAAAAATGAAAATTCTATTGTCATTCTGTTATATTTTACCAATTAAAATTTTGTAATTCCAAACTCAAATGCTCTTTTTTTATTACCATGTTTTTACTTTTTTCACTGACACGAAAATGAAAAAGACTTCAAATCTGAAAAGACTAAATCAATATTCACAACTGCTATTCACAAATTTTCTATATATTGTGATCATTATGATCTCAACTTGTAATAATTGCTTTAATGAGCTCATTGTTTCTGCCCAATTGAATACATGTTAGCTAACTACAGGATTTGTATTTTATTAGAACTGTACATTTTTGACATATGGACATTACTTGGACACAGTCACATCTGATAACAGACTACTCTAAATTGTAATTTCTGTAAAGCTAGCTTTGAAGCCATATCCTCCTGAGACCCAGAAAAAAAAAGTTTTTTGAATTTAGTTTTTTTCCATGTCATCACACTGTTTAGAGCACAATAAACAAATGGTAAAAAAACACATATATAAAATAATATTTTATTCATACGTTATGCTATGTCCTCTGTAGTGGACGCCAGGACTAAGTTGTTTAAAAAATAAAATGACATGAAATTATATGTATAGGCAAAAACAATGGGATTTTTTTTTCAATCACCAATAAATTTTGGGGTTTCAGGATTTTTTCAACCAAAATTTGTATAAAGATTATTCTCAACTATGTTATGAAAGAAATAATGGAATGAATTGATACACAATTTTACTTTTTGCAATATGTGGGTAAAATGGCCATAAATTAATATTCCCATTCAATGCAATGTATCTATACACTGTATCTAATTTGCACATTAATGTGTTCTTGGAGCAACATTTAATGAAAAAAGAAGTGTAACAATTGGAGTAATTATTGGCAACATTTTAATAATATCATCTAATATTTCATAGGAATATTGATGTATAATTTATCTCCATATTCACTTGTTGTGTCTCCCAGAATGCCTGATAAACATGGTTTTAGTCCTGATGTCCTCTACAGTGGACACGTTTGAAATCAATGCCCTGTTCTGTAACAGAAAGTATTTTTTTTATTTGAAACCCCTTAACATTTTCCTGAGATGTTGTTTTATGAAATACAATTAGAAAAAGTAGTCCAATTTAAATATAATTACAATATATTATCATATTTCCATAAGAATGCTACATTTGATCACTAAATTAATGTCAGACATTTTTAAAGACCAAGGAGAAGTTGTTTTCATGGTGAAACCTCCAAACATTTGGTATCTCTGAAAAGTCCTGAATGTGCTCTTTACAGGACACCCAGGTTGTGTCATGTGACATGTATGATGTCAGAGAAATTCACTAAAATATAATGTCCACTACAGTGGACAAAAGTCTATTCTTGGGTCCCAGGAGGATATGTATTGTAAAAAACTGCAACACAAATAAATGAATTTAATTTAAATGAACTTAAAATGTACATATGTAGATCAAGGGAATCAAATTTCCCAATCAAGGGAACTCGCGCTGCGTCGAGATTGACGCTATGGGAACGCTCTGCGTGATTGCGTCGTGAAGCACTTGTGAAATCAGTCTCATGGTGTATGGGCGGGTGACGTCAACGCAGGAAGCTATAAAGCGCACCCAGACCAAACATTGTCAGCTTCAGGGCCTTCAGCAAACGCTCTGTGGGAAATTATCTCTGTCTATTTATTGTTGTTTGTCCACAAGCATATTATATATCTAGACAGGTCTACAATGGCAAGCAAACATCATTTTGTATCGTGTGATTTCCCTGCCCTCGCTACATTACGTGTGGGGATACACACGATTTATGTGTTGTTTGTTTAGGAGTGGAGCACGCATGTCAGCTCTAGTAAAAGGGGGCTGACAGTGTTCATTCATAAATTCCCGACGTGTAAGATATGCGCTATCGAGAGTTTTAGCTCTGCTCCTGTTGGCTTTCTTCTCGAGGGAAGAAAGTCAATAAAGATTCTTTGGCTCGGATCTCGCTTTTGCCGAGGCAGCACGTAGATTACGGGGCTGCAATAAGAATCTAGTGGTTCGGATCTCGCATTAGCAGAGGCAGCGCATAGATTACGGGTTTGCAATAAGAATCTAGTGGCTCGGATCTTGCGTTTGCAGAGGCAACGCGTAGATTACGAGTCCGCAATAGGCTATATGCGTAGGGAACTGAGCAAACAGGAATTTCCCTTTCTCTCTTTTTCCTATGAGTGTGTAGGTTAAAAACTAATTATTTGCAGACTATTGTTTTTGGTTCGTTTTGTGTTTGAGATTATAATATGAATATATTATGAAAATTCAGCCTGTCATTCAGACCATGTATTCTTGACTGCTTGTGTCTTGGCTGCATTTAATTGAGAAATTAAATGGAAATATTTTTCTGGCTTTGGAAGTTAGATGTCTGTATGGAAATATATTCAGCCTTTCATCCATACCGAGTTTTCTGTCAGGGTGATTTTGGCTGCATTTAATTTTGAGGAATTAAATGTTAAATAGGCCTACTCATCTGATTTTGATGTCTGTATTTATACACTATATTCAGCCTTTCGTGCAGACCGTTTTTTCTTGTCTGGTTGATATTTGGCTGCATTTAAGAAATTAAATAATATATACTCATCTGATCTTTGAGGAGTTAGATGTCTGTACTAATATATTTCATCCGGACCGTGTTTAGTTGATCTTTGGCTGCATTTAATTCTGAGAAAGTAAATGGTGAAATTCCTGGGGGGAAATGGATAACACCTCATTATATGATGCCCATCTCCCTTCGAGCCCTCAGGGGCTGTTCTGCCAACCCCACCACCTTGTGTGCTTTGGGGCGCAGCGGTCTCCAGCGAGTTAACCCTCTACGCACACCTTGGCAATAGAATCAGCATTGGCTAGTAATTTTTTTTTGGTTACTCGCCAGACTGATATACTATTATATATATAGTCAGCCAAATCAGCTTATCTTGGTAAAATGACAGCTTTTTAAATATCTGAATGTACACTCTTAACATCAGTCAATCAAGCATTATATTATGATTATGATCATAAAGCACTATTTAATGATATAACTTTAGTAATCAGAACTAAAACTTGGTCACCATGTAAGAATGCATATTTATCATTTTAACTGAACTTAGGACTGGTGGTGGTGCTTAAGATATTGTTTGTCATTCAGTGTTTCTGTGAAAAAAAAAAAGATAATAGTAATAGATAATAGTAATTATTATTAAAAGATAATAATACTAATAATTCTACTACTATTAATAACAATATACAACACACTAAGGATTGATGAGCAGAAGGGTTCATGAATATTAATCACGTTGTCAGCGTTCACTCGAACTGATTTGCTGAAATCAGAACAGGGATGAGTGCCAGCCAATAAGATTGCCGTTTGCCCATTAGTTCCGCCCACTCCCAGAGAAACCGGCATATTTTCTGCTTGTTCCTAAAAGCTGAATAATTCCAAATGACCCCGTTATTTTGACAGGAAAATACAACAAAGAATATCGTTTACATGTAGCGCGTCGATTCTGCGTGATATGTAAGACTCTCTCTCTCTCTCTCTCTGGGTGGTTAACACCTCATTGTATGGTGCCCATTTTCCTCCGGTGCCCTCAGTGGGCCGTTCTGCCAACCCCATCACCTCGTGTGCTTCGGGGTGCAGTGGTCTCCGGTGAGCCCATATCTCAGTGTCCGCCCGGAAACGGAAACCAGTCCTAAGCAGGGATGCTCGCCCCCCCTCTGAGGAGGGTCTTAGAGCAATCAGTTTGGCTGTTCCCTGCTGGTTCACCGCTTCAGGACACCGAATTGGTTGCTCGAGTAACACCTAAGACCAGCCTTGAGAGACTGGTTCCCTTAGTAGATTTTTTGCCAGCGTGGGAACTTCTGCCAAAAAACCCCCAAAAAAAACTTCTGCCATTTTGTAGGATTTGAGAATGAACCAGACCCAAATTAATCTTTCAGACTAATCAAGAGGCATAATTTCATAGAAACTCCGGATCAACATGCAGTAACCTAAATCAGACAATCTTCCATTTGCGACCTCATTCAGTCTGAGCAAACTAACGAACCCCCCCAGCTAAATACTTTATGGCCATACAAGCTTATAAAGATGAGCCTAGCTGAAGGAAGAACGTGTCAACATTAGGCAGCTAACCCAAGTCTAATGGTCAAAAGTACAAGACATCGTGATCAGCACAAGGAAAGCCACAAAGATAACACCAGGGATTGTTTGATCGTAGATTTGGGCTTCACCCCTGGGTCCCAGGTGATTCTGTCTTTGTTGTGCTCGCCTGATTTCACACAATATAGGCACTGGTCACTATGGCAGCATTGGTATAGACGTTCCCATTGCGTCAGTCTCGACGCAGTGCGAGTTCCCTTGAAAGGGAACGCCTCGGTTACGACTGTAACCTCGGTTCCCTGAAGAGGGAGCGAGAAGCTGTGTCACCCTGCCATACTTCCGGCATGCTGTGATTGACTTGCTTCGGCCTATCAGAAGCTGTTTGGTCTGGGTGAGCTTCATAGCTTCCTACCATGATGTCACCTGCCTATACGCCATTGGACTGATTTTACACGTGCTTCCCGATGCAATCACGCAGAGCGCTCCCATAGCGTCAATCTTGACGCAGCGCGAGTTCCCTCTTTAGGGAAACAAGGTTACAGTCGAAACCAAGGAGTTTTTTTTTTTATTCAAACAAGCTCAGTATTTGCACATTGGAATTTCTGAAACCCTGTAGTATTTTAGTACTCTTCAGGTTGTATGTTCTGACTGAAGGGGAAAAAACAGATTACCTTGATAGAGTCTCCTGGTAGCCCAGGTTCCCCCATATCACCTTTTGGACCCATTGGTCCCTTTAAAAACATAAAAAAAAAACAGTTCATATAAAACATTTCTCTCTTCTCACAGAAAGTGTCAGTTTGGCCCTACTGACTTTTTATTTTCAAAGCTTGCCCAAAGTAATTCACACCTTTAACTGTGATCTTTTAAAGTTTATAATCATTAGAATAAGAAAAATTTGTCTAGGTGAGGATAATAACACCAGCTGTGGTAGAAATGGATGTTATCCAAAATATAAAATAATTGGTATAAAATACCAATTATTAGTTAGATAGTTATCCAATAAAATAAAAGTGATTTACCCAGATTTAACAAGTAAAAACACTTATTTTACAGCACACAGCTTACTAGACTTACAACAAAATTACAAGTTAGACATTAAAAAACTTACAGGAAATCCTGCCTGACCAGCTATACCAGGTTCTCCCTAATGGAAAAAGAACAAAAACACAATGCTTGGTTTGTGATTCCATATGCAATATAATGCAGTAAAGATTTGTAAATAGCAAATCAGAATTACATGGGACATTCAATATTGAACTGCATGCATTTAAATATTCATGTTATGGAAGAGCTATTATAATTTATATTTATTAATGCCTTTCACCTGTGGTCCAGGAATTGCATATTTTTCCTCCTCCTGAAATTAAATGTCATTTAGGTCATTTAGCATCAGAACTGCAAAGTTGTGAAGGATTAGTAAAGTGTTATGTAGAGTTATACAAAGTCATTTGAGGGTCTATCTTTATGATAACACTTACACTGCCATTAATATAGATCATTTGTCCTGGAGGACCTGGTGGCCCTGGAGGTCCTGCCACACGACCAGGATCACCCTAAAGTTGAATATAGATATTATTATCATACACTTGTTGCCTAGATCCACAGACAATTTGCAGTGTTAAACTGGATACGACTGTTGAACACCTCTGTTGCTGAGAAATGAGAAAAACAGCAATAGAGATTCTACACATATAGCATTAAAAAGTGTCCTCAAATCATTATTATTTTATAAATTAACACTCACTTTGTCACCTTTCCATCCTCTTTCCCCCTTTAGCCCCTGTAAAATTTAAAGATTTATTTTTTTAAAAGTTACAATTTTGACATTGAAAGCTGATATTCAAGCTAATTAACTTTCACTCACTATTTTTCCTGGAAAGCCATCTAACCCTGAGATTCCCTCTCGTCCTCTTTGACCTTCGTCGCCTTTCTGGCCTGGAATACCCGGAAAACCAGCTTTGCCCTGCAGAGTTTAAAGAGAACTGACATTGGTCCTGAGTAGATTATAATTTGGCAACATGGATTTCACATTATCAACTGTCAAAATCTTACCGGTAGTCCAGGTATCCCCTGAGGCCCCTTCAAAAAAAAAAAAAAAAACGATATAAGGTGGGATATACACTGTGGTGCGGTGATGATAATGTAACAGCAGTTCACAGTTACCTGTGGACCTGGTGGGCCCATGACTCCTGGAATGTATTGAAGAGCAACTTCTTTTTCTTTCCCATCACTCTGAAAAAACACAAAAAGTGGATATGGCAGATCATGTGTTAAGCCCCCAGGTGGCACAAAGTCCAGTGTGACTGCACAGCCCTTGAGATGGTCCTGAAATCAAAAGTTTTGATGTTGCTGAACTTAAAAAATTAAGTAACTTACAGTAATTCGGAATGCAGGTCCAGGGGGCCCTGGAGGTCCTTGAGGTCCTTGAGGTCCCATGGGCCCAGGCAGCCCAGTCAGACCTTCCTGCCTTAGGATCCCTGATGAACCCTGTGGACCCTGCAGAGAAGGGGGTGGGAGGATTTATGACTGCAGCTTGTACAAAAGTGTTCTTAAAAAGTGAGTCAATAGACTTGAAGTTCAGTCATGAAACAGATTCTTGATAGGTAATATGCCAGCCAATGTCCTTGTGTACAACAGGGCCTGTGTTACATGCATTTTCAGTTTGGTTTTGTTTTCACCGAGTTCTGAGTGTTTTGCCTCCTTGTGTTCCCTTGTTAGTTTCCTTGGTTGTTAATTAGTTCCACACACCTGTTTCTGTTCAGTCGATTACCCTCCCAGAGTAGTTAAGCCCTGAGTTCGGTCTGTTATTTGTTTGGTGTTGTCTGAGTTTTACGTTGTTGCTAGTTGTCCTGAGTATTCTTGTTCTGGATTATTGGATTAAAGACTGTTTTTGTCATATTCTCCTGTGTCGTTCACTTCACTGAAGCAACGCATGACACCGTGATATATAGATCCTAATATATCCCCTTGTTATGTCATGACTTATTGAATATTGTTTCTGGGTCCAAGCCTCCACTTCGTTTCAATAGAGAATACTGTTCTAACAGCTATTTATGAGCAATGTTTATTTATAGCACACATTTAAGCTAAGCTTTTAAAAACCCATGGTCACTGCATCCCGGACACCAACATTTTAACTATTTATAAAAAATGAATCACTGCCTGGCCAACTGAGATTTTGCTTTGGAGATTAGGATCATGATTTTTTGGTAGTATTACAGATCACCAAGTGTATATCAGAACTGTTTGTTGTTTGCGTTCTTATAGAAATGGTGGTGCATGATGTCAGACTTAACAAGTAGACAATAAGTAACAAGTAGAATTTTCAGCCATATGGTATATTACAAAACCTGAGAACAGATAAAACCATCTATTAGACTATGGTTAATGGTTTTACTTTGAAATCAACATCCCTTAGCAGCAAAACATTGACATTTCGACATAATGAAGCCTCACTTAAGTAAAATCATACAGTATGACTTGGCCAATCTGCAAAGCTGATCTGGTTCTAAACAAATGATTTGTAAAGAAGATCCAGTCCGCTAAGACCAAATACACTAAACTGCCATATCCATTACCATGCTAAAATTGATTCAGAGAGTATGACTGAACTACCAACACATTCTCATCCCAAGGCGTCATCTAACTGACACTTTTGACCATGCGTCAACATGCCGACGCACATGGTACCCCTTAAGCGTCAATATGAGACGCTCATCCTTGGGCGTCATCTAACTGACGCTTTTGACCATGCGTCTAAATCCGACGCACATGGCACCCTTTAGCGTCAGTTAGATGACGCTTCTGTTATAGGTAGGTTTAGGTCTGGGGTAGGGTTAGGGTTAGACCACTAGGAGGCGCGTCTCATATTGACGCTTAAGGGGTGCCATGTGCGTCGGCATGTTGACGCATGGTCAAAAGCGCCAGTTAGATGACGCCTTGGGATGAGAACGGGCTGGAACTACAGTAAATATCATTCAAGAAAACAGTGTAATGCAGGTTGTGCACAGTCCTCAATTGTCTCAGTGTTGTGAAAATGCATGACAAGGACAAGCAAGCCTCACACAATAAGAGATAAGAACAGAGTCAAACAGAAAGGTAAGTCTGAAATGTTTGATTCACTCGCACTTCGAATTCAATAGCACTTTAATTAATTAGTAAAGTTCTTGTGACACCACACCCAGTGCAGTTAGTTTGTAGTCATGCATGACTTTAAGATACCTGTGTCCCACTAGTCTCCCAGGAAGGAAACCAATTGGAGAAAAAAGAGACAGCAGAGGAGGAGCTTTGCTAAAGGGAGAAAAACATACTGTAGATTAACTTCCCAATGGAAAAGGCTTCTGACATATGTGAATGTCTGATTGTATATGTTATATTTCAGTATTCTGTGATCAAATCTTAAAATCGGATTCATTAAATATGTTAGCATCACTTGTTTTACCTTTTCCCCTAGCTCACCACAGTCTCCCTAAAAGAAAGAGAAAAAATAAGTTTCTGTCTTTAATTTTACTATTAGTTTTAATATTTAATAATTTTAATATTTATTTTACCTTTTGGCCCGGGGGACCAGGAGGACCAGGTTTTCCAGGTCGACCTGGAAGCCCCTGAGTCATAAAAAAACAGAATAAACAGCAACATAAACACAATTCTAACAAAGGTTTTAAAATGCATGGGATTAATGAGGGGAGGATTTCTTACAGGACGCCCAGTGGTCCCATTTTGTCCAGGAGGACCAGTGGGGCCAATTTCAGTGGACTCTAATTCTGATCCAATTCCCCAGTCTGGTCCTGGGGGCCCAGGGGGCCCAGGAGGCCCAGGTGGACCAGAAGGACAACATAAACCCTGAAAAAATGAGAACATACTGAAATATAACTGCAAAATGCAATTAAAGAGCCAAACATATCAGCAGCTGTTGTTTTTATTAGGACACAGAATCCAAAATGGTGATTAAATTAAAAAAATAATTGAGCGGGACACATACTAACACGGGGTTGTATCACACATGGTTTAAATACTTCCACATATGCTAGCATGATGAAACTTAGTGTATTTAATAGTTGCCATATCGACAATATAGAAAAAAAAAAATCACAAAAATTCAGAAATCTTTGTGAGATATCACAGACCATTTATTTAACAAGTAAATTGCTTAAGTTATTTTTTCATCTGTATTTTTTGTTTATTTAAAATGAGACAAATCTGATATTATTTAAATCTCCAGTCTGTTAATTAGCAGTTTAGATATCTAACTGATTCACTAACTAGCAGAAGATACTAACCAGGTTTAAATTCCAGTTGCGCAGATACGGTACGTTGTAACACTGCATTACAATGTGCCCCGCTATTAGAACTATGCTATTCTATACAGTTACCGATATAATTGGCATAATTAACTTTTATGAATTTCTGTGGAGAAACCATGGGGGAAAATGCGAATAAAGGCTGAGAGGAAGAACCTGAACATTTAGAAAATATTATTTGTGTAGGCTCGTCTAATTATCTCCTGTTCCGTGAGAGCTGTGAGTGGAGGGAGGGGAGTGTTTTGTTCAGCTCTGTGTTTTTCTGAATGTCTGAATAAGTTTCCTCATCTGTTTGCCTGTATTGTTTTGACCAATGCTGTATAGCTGTGTTTTGCATTGTGTTCATTGTCAAACACCAAAATGATTTAATTTAGAATTTCTAAAAAAATTCAATTTTATATGGAAAAAAATAATAATTGTATTTTATTCACAAAATATTTTAGTTTGTCATGTATATTTTTTGATTAGATCAGATAACATGTTAAGCTGTCATATGGTCATGTTACAATGTGCCCCTCACATGTTACAATGTGCCCCACCTATCACCTATATCTCAATAAAGAAAAAAGTATACACTGTATTAATGAAACAAAGCCACATATTTGTACCAGACATGTGTGAAATAAATGAGGAAAAAAAGAAATACTCTGAACCATAAGTAGATTTACACAGACTGAGAAAGTCAAAAAGCGTTAGGTTGTGCCCCGCTCTCCCCTATGACTTTTGACCAATAGGTGGTGCTGTCACCATATTGAAATAGTTTAGAAACGGCATGGGAGGCAAAGATTGTTAATGTGCCAAAGTGTTGCCAAGATACAGCATCTCGCCATCAGATTTGTTGATGCTTTATATGAGAAGGGTTTAATGTCAGAAAGCCTAAAATAACTTTTTTGCCATCATGGTTAGAATATGATCTGAGACAAATTTAAAGACATGTACCTTAACTATTCCATAACTACTTCTACTACTATTGATAATAATATCCATTTATAATATCCAATAATATCTAGGGTTAGATTAGCTGATTGCTGAAACATACCTGCAATCCAGAACCCTCCATATCCCCAAATGTCTAAAGAGAAAACATTACAGTATAAAACACATTTGTTTTAGCTCATTCATCTGGTTTCATGGTATTCTGGTTAAAAATATGTTTGCTAATTTTCAGTAAAAGGAAACTCAAGAAAACAAAGCTTTTAAAACAACATACAAAAAAACAACAACAATGTTCACATCCCATTGTTGTCTGTTTCTTTGTGTCACTACCAAAATGTTGGTGAACAACACTTATGCTTCTCTGCTATGAATTCAATCAGTAGGTTAAGTGAAAGACAAATGAGAGCACTAGGTGATCAATCTTTGACAGTCTGTCAAAATAAAATGCTGTTCAGTTTCCCCCATTTTTGAAGATATGAGATGCATCACAATAGCCTATGCATACTTACAGTATGCACTATTCTATGCCGTTTTGTAGTATAACTAGTGTAAGTACTGTGTGGAATGTTGAACACTTCATGTGTTCAAATGTTAAAGCTTTAATTAAGTAGTGGATGGTGAGGGGCTATCAGACTCTGATGTTGAATGACAAAATAACCTTATATAATGCATACACTACAAGGTTGAGTACATAAGTAAATAGTGGATATGCGTCATTTGGGACACAACTCAGCTCTTTGGTTCAGAAGACAGCTTTTTCATTAATTGTGCAAATGTGTGAACTGTTGGTTTTTAACCCCTTCGCTGTCACCCCCCTTTTGAGAATAGGGGTTAAAATGCACTATTCAAACTTAAATGTATATATGTATATGAATATAGACCTAAGTTTGGTCTTGTTTTAAAGGAAACACTCAGCAGATTATTGCTGAAGTGAAAACTCAAAATTTAAGTATGAAAAAGTTATGGAAGTTTAAATTTACAGTAAATCACATATACTGTACTATATATTTTTCTTTTATATAAAATATATATTTTACAAAATATTTTTTTACTATAAAATTACTATAAAATCAAAGCCATATATCTAACCAAGTTGTGTTCCAAATTCGAAGTTGATATCACAAAAATTGAAGTTCCCATTAGATTTTGTTTAGGCGTAGTACCAAAAATAGCCACCGGGTGACATACATTGAATTTAGTTGTATACATTCTGCCTTAACAAATTAATGAATTTCTGTCCAAATATCAATTCTGTCTCAAAATTTGGAACCTTGAGACTTAGACCTTTCTGACAATATGTTTTGTCAAGATTAGAAAAGGTTTTGATCATAAATTATGAAATATAATGATGCCCAAAAGGTGAGGAGCCTGATCAAATCACTTAGAGTACAGTTTCTATGGTAACGCAACGTTCAATTTCAAAACGGTTTTCACAGGATGAATTCTGAGTTTGTAAGCGTTCAAATGATACCTAATTTATGATAACTACTAAAATATGTGATGTAATAAAAAAGGATACAAAAAAAGATAATATTATATTTTAGAGGATAATATATATTATACTTTTTAGAGGATAATATTATATTATAATTTTTTATTGAAAAGTACTAGATTATATGTTTTATTATGAACTTTTAGCATGAAAACGTCTCAGGTTACGACTGTCACCTATGTTCCCTGAGAACAGGGAACGAGACAGTGTGTCGAATGACGCTTTGGGGGAACGCCTCAGGCGTGACAGGTGTCTGAAATCACAATCAAATCACGTCAATCACATTGACCGGCGACAGCCCGTGAATCATTAATGTGAATGATTAACATGCGACCTGGAAGTATAAAAGGGCGCCTTGCAAACATGACAATATCCTTTCGTCTGAAGGGACTGTTTGGTAGGCAGGCCCCGAGGCATGGCAAAGAGAAGACGCAGTGTCTCGTTCCCTGTTCTCAGGGAACATAGGTTACAGTCGTAACCTGAGACGTTCCCTTTCGAAAGGGAACTCGCACTGCGTCGAATGATGCTTTAGGAACGATATACCCACGCCACCATGCTAAGGGGAGTGCATGCCCATTGGCAGTGACAACTGTCCGAACCAGCAAATTCAAATGAAATGCTAGAACCACTCACCCTCAGGTCACACTGGGCTGTCAGTGACAGCATTCCCTACGGTCATAGCCCAAGTTATAAGCCTCGCAGGAAAACCTCCATAAACATGGTTAAATGAAAGGCCTACCTGGGCCTGCTCAAAGGCCTAGGACTACAACTTCAATTAGAAGGGGTCCCTTCTAGGGAATGTGGCTAGGGAACCCGAAGGAACCCCAGCCAATCACTATTCAGGGGATCGCACTCACCCCAAAATGCCACCAGGACGGCCTGACCTGGCGTCAGTTACATAGACACTTAGTCTGGCCACTTCCTGTCTGTCCGAAGACAGAGCCTCTGTACACTTGCCTTTAGGTAAGGCATCCAACCCGAGGGACTGCGAAGCTGGCAGTGAACCACTCGGCCCGGATCTCAGAGACGGGATATCCCGGAAAGTATGACTCAGCAAGTGCTTTCCAACCCTTGCCAGCGAGGGGAATTTCTCTACTCGATCCATGGATCTACCCAGTGTTTGTGTTTCAAAACACTGAGGAGGCCTGTGAAGGCCTAAGGACTGATCTAACTGGGAGGCCTCACGAGAGGCCTACGACCATCTGACCAGACTCAGGAGTCCGCATGCTCATAGTGACCTTCAGTGAGGGGAGCACATGGTCCACCTGGTAGGCAAACCAGGCTGTAGGCAGGAAAGAGGTTCCGGGAGGGAACCAGTAGCAGAGAATGAACACTTTAGTCGAGCCAGGGCGCAAGCTCGCCTTCAGCAGCTGCCTGATAAGGCCAGCTGAAATGAAGCAAGGGGCCACTAGCTTCCTGAACCCAGCACCACTTAGGAAACTTCTCACAGGGAGGTCTGGAGAGGCTTACTACCTGATAACCACAGTATGTGGGGAACTCACCCTAAGGGAGGCCTGGTGAGGCCTACTACCTGACAGTTCCCATTCAGGGAGGCCTGGAGGGGCCTACTACCTGATAACCACAGTATGTGGGGAACTCACCTTCAGGGAGGCCTGGTGAGGCTTACTACCTGATAACCACAGTCCGTGGGAGCTCATCTTCAGGGAGGCCTGGAGGGGCCTACTACCTGACAACCACAGTATGTGGGGAATTCACCTTCAGGGAGGCCTGGTGAGGCCTACTACCTGATAACCACAGTACGTGGGAGCTCACCTTCAGGGAGGCCTGGTGAGGCCTACTACCTGACAGTTTCCATTCAGGGAGGCCTGGTGGGGCCTACTACCTGATAATCACAGCATGAGGGAAATCACCTTCAGGGAGGTCTGGTGAGGCCTACTACCTGACAGCCACAATATCTGGGAGCTCACATTCAGGGAGGCCTGGTGAGGCCTACTACCCGATAGTAAGTCAGGCTAGCTGTCCAGTTGCCTGTCCTTGGGCTTGCCTCCAGGGAGGTCTGGTGAGGCCTACTACCTGATAGCCAGCGTAAGTGGGAATTCGCCTTCAGGGAGGCCTGGAGGGGCCTACTACCTGACCACCACAGTATGTGGGGAACTTACTTTCAGGGAGGCCGGGTGAGGCCTACTACCATCTCAAGTGTGAATTCACCTTCAGGGAGGCCTGAGAAGCCTACTACCTGATAGCAACTGGTAACTATGAGCCCTGAGTCCAGGTGATAGTTCCAAGGCGGCCTGCTAAGGCCAGCCAGCTGGGGACTCGCCTATTAGGGAGGTCTGGTTGGGTCTACTAGCTGATAGCAAGTCAATTCTGCTTCAAAGGTACACTGTTGGGAACCATACTACACCAACATAACTATTGGGTCCATCCACAGGAGGCCTAATACGGCTAGCTACCTGGTAGCGGCTATAAAGTATGTCACACAATGTTGGGACTCACCTCCGAGGAGGCCTGTCTAAGGCCTACTACACATCAGTGAGTCAACTGCCCGAACCACCAAGGCCAACCACATTTTTTGAAGTAAGCTGACCTACAGCACCCTCTTGGGGGCTGCCCATTCAAGGAGACCTGCTGAGGCCTACTACCTAACGGTGCAGCCTTCGTTGGCAGATAAGCTGTTTACACAGCGCCTACAGCATCCTGGTGCCTAATCACATTGCCCATGGCAGTGTACTCAGCAAGAGAGCTAGTACCCTTAAAACAAGGGGAGTACAACATACGCCACTCTGCTTCAACGGAGGCCCCAGAGTCAGGGGCCTACCATCTGTACGCATGGGCGTCAGCTCATGGCAATACTCTGGCTTCAGGGGAGCGTACTTCGACAAAAGAAGAAGTGAAGCTAGAACTTCCCACTCGACCCGAGCCATAGTAGTGCGAGGTAGGGTTTATACAGAACTGAAAGTGAAGTACTCAGACCTAACCTGTATCACAGGGGAATACTCCCACCTCACCCTGAGGTTTACCATGGTGTGGGCCTGCCAGCGGCTCTAGGGGTGACAGAAAATGTATCTGTGCCCAACCTAGGGGAGTGGGGCTTGTTTGTGAGCCAAACCACCTACAACCCAACGCCCAAGCAGTAGCTCAGCGAGGTAAGCGAAGCCTAAACTGGCGGCCCAGATTCCATATGCTAGTTCTGCACGGCAGGGTTGGGCAGACGACCCAGTCTCTTCGTGAGGCGAAAGACGGCCTAACCCTGCGCAATAAAGACACATTGTACCGGGGAGGCTTATTTGAGGCCTAACCCAGGATCTTTGTAAACCATGCCTCTGCACCGCGCTGCATTACTCTTGTCACCCCAGAATGCAGAGAAGGGGGCGGGCCTTGGCCTAACGACTCCCATGGGAGGAGGCTGTCATACAGGGATGCTTTCTAGAAACCTACATTCACAAAGTGAAGGGTCAGAGGCAGAAATGCTTAAGCAGAGCGCCTCCACTATCCCTGGCACAGCCTAGGCCAGCTACAGAGGCGGCCCTGGTGAGGGCCAGCCTGCAAGCATAGATCTATCTGAGGGCTCGGAGGAGCCACAGCCTTACTAGAATTTTTTTTATTATTATTTCATACGAGGGGCTGCAGAATCGCTCAGCCCGCTGAAAACCCAACAGAGCTCAAGGGGGCGATGTACTCAGGAAAGAAGTCAGACGGACCCGTGGGCCGGACATAAGATCTATCTGAACCTATAGCGACAGTCAAACTCCAAGTAAAAAATCCTATGAGAGGGAGACCAACTACTCTACCCTGAGGTGGCTAACAGCCCAAGGGCTAACATAGTTTCACATCACAAGAGAAGCCCATACAGCTGGTGCTTCTTCCTATCGTTCTAGCCACCTAAAGGGGAACTTCAGGGCCCCAATAATCCAAAAATGTACCTTACCTTATGACATTGACATGACCCCATATCTCTATACAGGGAACGAGGTCTGTAGAGAGATACATTTTAGTGTTAGTTGCACACAAAAATTTACTCTTAAAAAAGACCACTCAGCTCACCTGCGGTGTGCGAAGTGAAGACTCACCAGACAGTTCTTTATGAACATAGGGTCTACCACCTTTACATGCCTGAAAGGCACTCTCACTAACCAAGCCGAGGCGGGCACTCAGAACATTGTTCTAACCATGAGCCCAGCCTCAGGCCTGATGTAAGAAGCGCCTGGGGAATCGGGGAAGAGAGGAAAGGGCTAAGATATAATCACGCCCTCAGGGAAGATGATCCATGACCGACGCAATGTGCGTTTGTGCTGGATCACCTCCCTCAGATCCCTCTTCTTGACATTGACATTGCCATAGTTGGATTACTCAACAACAATACCATCGCAGCATTTCAGGACTCAATTTTACAGTTTTCCCAGTGGTGTCGGAACAATTACCTCCAAATAAACACAGACAAAACAAAAGAGTTGGTCATGTACACATCCAAATCCACACCTGGACTGAACCATACCCACATCCACGGTCAACTAATTGAACAGGTCAGTAGCTTTAAATACCTGGGACTCATTATCGATAATAAAATCAACTTCAAGGAACATGTCACTGCCATCCAGAAACGTGCACAACAAAGACTACATGTAATACGCAAATTGAAAGCCCTCTCTGTTGCCCCACATCTCTTGCTCCTACTCTACAAAAGCATCATTCAACCCACCCTGCTGTACTGCTCAACCTGTTTCTACACAATGTTAACCGTCACTTGCAAAAACAAACTCATTAAAATCACACATATTGCTTCTAAGATTATAAATCTCCCCGCACCCAGCCTATCAGACATGAATGACACAGCCATCACACGCCTAGCACGCGCAATAGCAGCTGACACAGACCATCCCCTTAATAAATTCTTCATATTACTCCCATCCGGTCGCAGATACAGAGCACCAACTTGGACTAAAGCCTATTTCAAAAAAAGTTTTGTCCCCACTGCCATTACAGTGCTGAACAAACTGTAATACTGCCACCCCCCCACTTCAGTTACTTTGTAATTTTCACATTTGATGTGTTATCTGGGTCTCTTCTTGAGCTGCTTGTATATGTATTTGGATATGTGTTACATGTTATATGTGTTTCCTCATATGTGATATTTCTGTGCTATGGAAGAAGGGAAAAAAGGATGTGTGAAAATGATTATCCCTATGGGACAATAAAGACTCTATCTATCTATCTCTTCTTGCGGGAGTCGCGCCTCCACGGGGGAGGTGCACGAGAGGTAACACTAGCTCTCTGGCCCTATCTAAGGTCCTCGGACCATGATAGGCCAGGCCCTCCCATCTGTCTGGGCGTGGACACGGATCTCAGCGGTATGTATGTCCTGGGTAAGTTTTAAGCGGTAAGTTTTTAAGCGGTAAGTTTTTTTTAAACTTCATCCATTTGCAGCTTACCCTCGTCAGCCGCTGCATCGTCTGAGAGGATTACACCCCTCTCAAGGCGATCGGCGGGCTTCATCTGGGAACCTGACATCCAGACGCTGAACCATCTTCTCTCGAGAAGAGGGACAGGCGAGAGCGGAGCATTCACAAAGAAAAATTCTCACAATTCGTACAGGCAGTTCCCTCGAGAACTGCCTGTGCGCGCTCTTCCTTCCCAGACAGAAAAATGCACAGTTCGTGTGTGTCACCCGGCTTCAGATATCTTGAGCACGGGTCTGCACACTTCTGAAAGCATTTCAAAATTACATGATTTTCAAAGCGGTTACAGACAAAACAGTCCCTGAAGACAAATATATGTTGTCATGTTTGCAAGGTGCCCTTTTATACTTCCAGGTCGCATGTTATTCATTCACATTAATGATTCACGGGCTGTCGCCGGTCAATGTGATTGACGTGATTTGATTGTGATTTCAGACACCTGTCACGCCTTCAGACACCTGCCACCTGATTTCAGACACCTGCCACCAGGCGTTCCCCCAAAGCGTCATTCGACACAGTGCGAGTTCCCTTTCAAAAGGGAACCAAAGTTTCAATTATTAAACATGTGTGCGTCAACTTTTTGTGACAAAGGTCAGAACTCCTGTTATGATGCAGATTTATTTGAGGTGCACTCTTGTCAAAAATTCATCGGTTACTCTTCCTTCATAATTTGTAGCAAAAAACAGCAGTCAAATATCTATTTAGGAGTCTTAGACCTTTCCAACGATATATAGTTTGTCATAATTAGATTAGGATTTAATAGTAAGATAGCGAAGTAAAGTTAGGCGTCCTAGTTTTACAGTATAGGGGAAAAGATTCTGAGCACTTATATCTTAGTAAAAACGCACAGAATAAAAAGTCTGTCACACTTTAATGCATGTTGAACAGCATGTACAACTCTTCCTCTGTGGAAAACAACCAGAATACAAAAATATGCTTAGAGCTCCACCTAGTGGTTTTATTATAAAACTTAAAGGATAAATTCACATATGAGACAGCTTGATAACTTAAACAGCTTTAGCTGAAATACACACACGTTTAATATAATTATTCTGGTAAGAGTGTATTTTTCCAACAAAGCATTCAATGGATCATTCGGTTGTATGCACATTTTAAGTCCAAGCACACAGACCTACAATAGCAGTATTCATACTCACAGTCCTGTCTGAAATTGAGGGTCCAGGAGGTCCAGGTGGCCCAGGTGGACCTCTAGGGCCTTGATGTCCTTCTCCTTTCTGTCCCTACAGATACAAAAAAGACTAAATGTTTTTTTATTGGTCCATACAAAGACTGCAGTGAAAAAAATAATAATATTTTTTTTTGGTTTTATTTGTTCAGTCATGTTTTACCAAAAATCTGGTCAACAATGTTTTTTTAGTTTTTTTTTTTTACCTTCAAGATTATTGACTAATTATGCCTCAATGGCTGCATGTGATAGAGATATTATAAATTTCATTACTTTTTGCTAAACTGTCCACCACAGACCCACATAGTTTACACACTCCTGCTTTAAGTTATAATGTGTAATAAGGTTATTATAAAATAATTAATAAAAATGAATAATAATAAAATAAAAATTCAGATATTTGCAAACCACCTTTTGCCCTTGAGGTCCTATAGAACCTGGTAGTCCTTGAAAACCTCGAGGTCCTTCAGAGCCCTGAATAGTAAGACCAAAGGAGAATGATGAATTAATAAACACAGTCTAAGTATATATTCAAACACAGCCCAGAAACGTTTGTCCAGAAAACTCACAAGTTTGCCATTCTCTCCTGGTTTACCCTATAAAACATAAAAATTATGTTTAGACTGTGTTCTTAAACTATCAATTGTTGTATTGTGTTTTTAACAGACACTGACAGTCAACTATAATTATTATTAAAAGTAATTTGATGTCAAAGGAAGTTTATGTTACTCACTGGCTCCCCCTTTGAGCCTTTTGGACCCACTGGGCCCTCTGGACCTGATGGGCCCATTGGACCCTGCACCCTCACCATGCTTTTATTCCCCGATTTGATCAATTCTGTTAATGGACCCTGGGGCCCAGGCGGTCCAGGTGGTCCTGGAGACCCACGATCACCTTTGGAGCCAGGATGTCCAGACCCACTACCCTATACAGAGAGATGGGCATCAGCATTGTGTCATCAGCCTAACTGAAATCTGACAGTAGTAGTAGTAGTAATGTAGTTTTTAATGCTATGTCAGAATTTTTTGGCCATCTTCATGGCAACAACTTGAGTTTCAAGATACAAGAGCTGCATAAATAGAATAAAAACCAAACAAAACGGCAGGAAATATTATACAAGATGTTTTACATTAACAAATGATAAAAATTCAAAAACCTTTTTTGGTAAAATCCCCCTAAACAAGTCCTTGAGTGAGCTTACTACATAAAAATGTTGTCTACTTGCATTAAAAGTGAGACAGTCCAATACAATATGTTTCATGGAAAGGGGGGTCTTGCAGAACATACAGTTGGTTCTTTGCCTTTAAGAAGAAAAAAAGTCAATCTTGTGTGACCTACAGTATACGACATCTAACACCACTTGATCAAATCTTGTTTTAAAGGAGATTCAAAGTCTGTTGGGGATTTCAGGATGGATTTCTGAAATTTGACAGAAGTCAACATCTATTTGCTGTGTGTGTGTACCACTAAAATAGACCTTGTTTACCTTCATTCCTTTCTCTTCACGATCACCCTGGGGAAGCAAAAAAGACATGATTGGGAAAAAAAACGTGTCATCACACTGGATTAGGATACAGGGTAGCAAAATAATGTATGATTTGCGAATTGAATATCCTCACCCAACTAACAAAAATACATTATTCAACAGTCTATTTACTTGCCTTTTTACTTGAACGGTTTCTATTTTAGACTTTAGGGTATGCTCTCTGTAAGCATCATTTTAATGTGGCAATCAATTCATGATTTAACACTTACAAATAACCAGATGGAGTAAAAGAGTATGTGTATTTGGAGTGCTATCCGAGGGGAGGCCTCCGAGCCTGGAATTTGGCCCGAACTTAGAGAAATCTGATTCAGCTCACAGCATCAGACGGGTGAGCACAGTGTCAAACAGGGTTAACATGGAATGAGGGAATGTCGCTGCTGGGGCAGTGACATATCGAAGATTTGGTGAGTGGCAGACCTGGTGAGAGGGAGGAGGAGGTCCATCCCATGCTGGGTGGAAAGCTTGTTGCAATGCAATATGAGCTGCATGGAATGAGGTGGGATATCCTGCTATTACCAATGGAAGTGGATTGGATTTCATTAGTCTGCAATTTAAATTTTAAATCCTACTATGTGTTGTACTTTAACCCTTAGGGGTCGACAAACGTGCCGGCACGTTTTGCTTGATCTTCCTCACATAGTAGCAAAATAGACTTGAGCAACAGACATGGGCAATATATCTTTATAAACATTTAAGTGTCTACTTTTAAATAATCTAATTCAAAATGAAAACAAATATTCTCTGTTCAAGTAAACCTTATGAAACAAACGAGAGGTACAATTTATCAAGCATCTGCTCATTTTCTCTGATGTAACAACAGCCAGACGCACACAAGCAATTCACATGCTAATCGTCCACGTAAAGGAAGCGAACCTGTAAACGCCCTCATCAGCACCTCAAAACAAAGCATCAAACTTCATCATTCCTCTGCTTTTCATTGATTTTGGAAGACACTTTGTGAGTTTACCTTGGATTTACCACAGAAGAATAGTAACGCGATTTGAAGATAAGAACGATTTTTAAGGTATGAAATGTATTCTCACTTATATTAGTTAGCGTGTTATTGTTGCATAAACTTAACATTGTACTAGTTGAACTGATGCCAGACTAAAATGTATGAAATCGACAAAAACATGTTGAAATATGAAATATAGACAGGTAAGCAACCTTTAAATGCTAAATAAATATTCTGTACATGTACGACACAAGGATGTTTTTATGCTCTATAATATAAAACACTGCAGGATATAAAAGTAGGCTAGTATGAGTATTTACACTAACATGATGCATATTATAATGTTTAGACCAGTATTTACTACGGAATACGGTGTTTGTGGATATCTGCTCAAACGTAGATGTTTATAATGTGGTAACAATAATGTTTCATAGTGAGGAGTTATGAAATGAGATCGCTTTAGTAAATGGTCTCTGCAAGCGCTGTGAGTTTGGGTCACTCACATTTGAAAAGCAAAACGCCCCAAACATTAGCCTATGTTTTTACTCCAATTTAATTTCATAACTGCATAACGTCTGAAATCATTTGAAGTAACATATGATAATCCATATATTTTTCTCTAGTGTAGTGTACTGAAGTGTTCCTTTCTAATGATGTATAGGCCGCCTGCATTTCTCCCCCTAAATAATAAAAGTTTTCTGTAAAGTAAAAATTATTATTATTGTTATTATTATTTAATTCAGCCCTACAAGTATATTCCTACAAGGAACAACAAACCTGGTGTTCTTTATATATAGTTTTGTGAATTTTAAATCACAATTAAAAAAATCACAATTAGTCCCCCCTCCCCCAAATCGTGCAGCTCTAGTTGCTCCTTATATCAGCGTGTTTACAGTTGTCATACACTGACCACCTCTGACAGCATCAGCCAGTCAAAACACTTGATCTGAAAGGAGCCAATTTGCAATTCCCTCCTTCTCAGGAGAGATTAAAAGGTTCTCTCAGAGACTTAGGCCCCGTCCACACTACTGCGTTTCCGTTTAAAAACGGAGACCTTTTGCTACGTTTGCACCTCCCGTCCACACTAAAACGGCAAAAATGGAGACCCAAAACGGAGAAGTTTAGAAACGCTGCCGATCCGTTTTTCGTTTTGAATCTCCGGAGGGCGTTTTAGGGAAGACGGATCAAAACGGAGGACTTTAGAAACGATGACGTAGTAGAGGCTCACGCTCGGCTCTATGATTGGGTGTCATCAGTCATGGCGTATATCTTTGCTAGCAGCTGTTGTACAAGTAAATTCTGCATTTTACAACGCTATAACTGCCTACATGCGCCGGAGTCAAGCTATTATTCGAGCGATCTGTGACAATTCCCGTGTGCAGCGGCGGCGTTGACCATACATGGAGCGTCGGTTTGGGGTTAACCCAGAGCATGGTGGGATAATTTTATCAATGAAGTTGTGTTTACACCGGCACGCGCATGCCCAGTGTTGGTGAATGGTCACGTGATCCGCGTTTTCAGTTGTTTTAATGTGGACGGAGATCAATTCTAATACGCAGCTAAAACGCTGGTGTGGACGGAGATCGTATTCGTTTTAATTATCCGTTTCTAAACTAAAACGCAGTAGTGTGGATGGGGCCAAAGAGTTCCATTTCTGAAAGCCAGATCAGAGTTTCCAGTTCTGAGTTCCAGTTATGTGTTCCTGGTTCCAGTCCCAAGAGTTTCCAGCTCCAAGATGCACTAAGCTGAAGGAACAAGATGTTTTTCTCTCCCTCTTGAAAGAGAGAAACGTTTCGGGTTACTTAACTGTAACCCTGTTCCCTAAAAAGCGGAACGAGATGCTGCGCTGCTTAGTGCATTGGGAACGTCTTTATTCGTGACCTGCTGTGAATATAGAGGTAATATAGCATCGGTCAGTGACGTCATCGGAGCGCACCCGCGACACAAGGCTATAATTAGATTAGATGTCCTGGGACATCATCAGCACGGCAATGCAGCGCAGCATCTCGTTGCGCTTTTTCAGGGAACAGGGTTACAGTCAAGTAACCCGAAACGTTCTCTTTCAAAAGCTACACTCGATGCTGCGCTGCTTAGAGCATTGGGAACGAGAATGCCCACGCCGCCGTGCTTGAAGGTGTCTGGACTCCTTACGGTTGTGTAGGTGTTCTCACAAGAACGCAAGAAAGCCCTAGACATTAGCTTGTGATGTCGACTCAAGGACGTGAGAGCCCGGAGTGGCATGAACATCCAAACTATAAAATCTTATGAATGTGTGCGGAGAGGACCAGCCTGCCGCATCACAAACAAACTACAAGGGGGGGCACCTCTTGCCAAGGCAGCAGATGAGGCGACCCCTCTGGTGGAGTGAGCCCTTAGACCCGTTGGCGAAGCTTGGCCGCGCGCCTCATCGGCAAGAGCAATAGCATCCCTGACCCAATGTGACATGGTCTGTTTGGTGGCGGCAGCGCCTCTGTTGCTGCCCCATAACAAACAAATAGTTGCTCTGACTTAAACTGGCCACTGGCTAGTGCGGTGGACATAGGTCTGAAGAGTACTAACTGGACATAGTCTGAGATTTCTCCTGCTCCGGCGTTGTGAACGGTGGAGGGCAGAAGGCCTCTAGAGCACCTATTCTTAACCATAGGGCCGCGGCCCACGCTTGGGCCGTGAGCGCCACCTGGAGGGCCGCAAAAAAACTTTACGTTTTTCACCTGTGGGCCGCGAGGGCCGCGGGACCAAACAAGTTGTCAATTGAAGACCCCAGAATGACCACTGTTATCCACGAGACAGTTACAATACAGCATCCCACCACTAGTGGCAGTAATGCCTCAGTTAGTTGTTTAACAAACGCCATTAAGCAGAAGACACTCAGTCATTTGTCTCAAATCGTCATTAATGTACATACTGACTTCACCCTGTGGTGCCTGCAATAAACATTTAGTTTTACATTTATTTACAGAATTCTGCTGGTTGAATGAAAATTGCTGATGTTATCGGATTTTCAGGTGATATTCTCAATTCATCCAGTTAACAGACGCTATGAGGTAAAGTGAATTCAGCCTGCAGACTAAGCAAGGATTGTATTTAATTGTACAGTACAATCATAACATAGTACAGACATGATAATTCCATAATGTCCTTACACATAACAATATTGCTGGCCATAAACTGATAAAGTGCGTGTCCGGTGTGCGATACCTCGAGTTGTCATAGACGCAACGCGGCGAGGCGCTGCGCTTCTCGTCCGATGTGCGACCCCCTTAACGCCCGTTTCACACATACTCCGTTTGCAGTGCGTATGCGGTGCGTATTTTTTCCCGCCCCCATGTTAACAAGCTTTCACACTGCACGCGGGTGCGGGAGAAAGTATTTCAGGGCCAGAAATGCATATTCCATTAACTTGAGGCAATTCATTTGCCAATCG